ACGATCCATTTAAAATCTGCAATAGAAAGAACTGTTTATTTCTAATAAAGAAATTAACCTAAAGTCTTCAATCCATCGTAAAGCCAAACGATCCATTCATTCACTCTCATCGAATTAAATTAATTCGTAAATTCAATCTATAAAATCTGACTACCCAATTTTAAATGTTCCAGCATGTCATAGAATACCCAGCAAAACTATTTGTCAATAATAATCGTGGCTAGAAATTAAATAACAATTTAATCTCATCAACAAATGACCCAAAACGGGAGTCCTGTGGAGCGTAATACGTTGATTGGGATCAGCTGACCGCGGCACATTGGTCATGAACATATGGTGCAGAATTTATGGAAAAGAATGATTACTTCTTCTCCCCGACTTTCAGAAGAGGGATTTTTATTTTCGGATTGTTTTCAGAAATATTTCCCCTTCTCTGCAAGATTTTCATGTAGAAAAGTTTGTCACGAACTTCGAAATGCTTAGGGTGCATTCATTAAGTATACAGTTTAATTTAATTGAAACGTAGAAGCAAATCAATTTTCATAACAAAGCTATTCCAGTTTCGATCAAATCATCTTACTTGGATCAAATAACTTCCAGGTGAATGTTTTCCACACTACTGAAAAGAATAAAAAAACTAAAAATTTGTAGATAATGAGTTTCACGAAGATTAGATGACAACAGGGCCGGATTAACCTATAGGCACACTAGGCACGTGCCTAGGGCCTACGAAAAGCTTGGGAGAAAATTTTTTTTTGACAAAAATAATTTAGCTTTAAAAACAACAAGTGTATTTTGCACAAAATTATGAAGATACAAATAAAAATATAATATTTTTCGGTAATAAATTATTTTGCAGAATCTTATGATCTAATATATTACTTTTTTGCGATTTTTGGATTCAACGAAATCTTGTATTATGCTGTCGAATTCCAAACTACGCAAAATGTCGTATTCAATAGACATAAGTGCGAGCGATGCCAAACGATCTTGATTCATTGTTGAACGCAAATAATTTTTTATCAATTTTAATCTGGAGAAAGATCTTTCTCCTTCTGCATTTGATCCAAGAATCGACAAATATATTCTTAATGCAATGTGAACGTTAGGAAAAGTATTCACAAGTTTATCTTTAATTTGAGCCTTCAACATTTCTTGTGCAGATTTATGTTCATACAAATTTGAAAATAGTAAAAATTCATCTACAAAGTTTTCCTCTAAATCGGATGAGTAAATTTTCACCAAATTTTGCGCTTTTAGTTTAATCTCAGATTCTGACAAATTTTTGTGAACAAGAAAACCGAAATTATCGTACAAATCACTGTAAGCTTTACGCCTTTTAGTCATTTCTGAAATTAATACATCTAAAATGGCGTAATACGTTTCCATACGAAGAAAATTTTAGCATATATTTTGAAAAGAGGGGAGGAGTGGGGGAAGGAGGGAAGGGCTGTGCCTAGGGCCTACGAAAGGTATAATCCGGCTCTGGATGACAAACATTCATATTAGAGAATGTTTTTCACGATGATTCTTATAAAAATTGAGCTTCCTGTGTCAAAACCATCCCTTAGAGATGAAAAAAAAAGCGAGCTTCAAACGAAAAAAAAAAAATTATTTGGAAAAGAAATATCTTTTCATAAATTCTTCGAGTAGTGAATTGCATATAGAAGTAACTCAGAAATATGTTAATTAAGAAGTATTAAATGTCAAGATCGGAAAATGTGTCTTACTGCGTGGTTTCTGTTGTATTCTCTCAATTGTTTCAGTTTTTTATTTCCATTTTTAGTCTATCTTTCATTTATTTTATACAACTTTAATTTTGTTTATTGTTTTATTTTATTTCATTTTATTTTGATATATTTTTTTTTACTTATTGTATTATTTTTATTTTATTTTTAGTTTATTTAATTCTACTTTACTATATTTCGTTTTTATTTTTTACCGAACAGCAGACCGATTTTCGAGCTTACGATCATTAATATTCAACTTCGTAACCTGGTGACTTTAAAGGCAAGGGAACTCCTGTATTGGGGCAAACTAGTTTTCCAAGAGGATTTTTCTGATGGAAATAATGAAGACATGAAATAATAAGCGAAATGAAGTGGAAAGTTAAGAAACTCTCCCTCGGTTAGCCCGACTACACAGGAGCCGAATTCGTAGTGATGTCATTCAGTTCTATATTCGTGTGTGCCAGTCACCTTTTGTTTTTAACTAACTTCTGATGACGTCATATTTAGAAAAAAAGATTTATTAGATTAGGGAAAATTTCTTTTCATAATTCTCGGGATTTTTTGCAAACACGTGCATATACGTTTGCCTAAAAGTAATTTTTTTTAAAAATGTACTTTTATCGTTCTTTAAATGAATGATGTTGAAGTGAAGATGCTTTCGAAAAGCACTGAATGGCGTCTTTGTGTCAGAAAAATAACCGTTAAAATTCTAGAATAATATCAACTATAGTTTGTCCCTGTTGTTATTCCAACCACGTATTTTATTTGTTGAAAAATAAATGAAAGAATTTCACTCCTTTGTCGGTGAGAATTGTTGAAGTAAAATCTAGTCATTCGGAGTTACGTCAAGCTGTGCATTCTTGGCAGAATGGACCACTTTGACGTAAAGTACTTTTAGCATTGAAATACACTTACAGGTTCTCTAAAGTTTTCAGGTGAACCTAACTACGAAGCTTAAAAATTGTGTTGTGTATTTCCACCCCAAAAAGTATTTTACACAAAAGTAGTGTAGCGAAACGTCATACTTTAACTCTTGGTGTTTAATACTACCAAAAATATTCTTTAACCATGGTATGAAGTAGCCATTTTTATTTTTCAGTAACACTAACATTTATAACTACAGTAAGATATGATACACGTAAGTCAATAAAATTATTTTGTACGGAACAATAAAAAAGAAAGAATCCCTAATTTAGAAGATACATACATAATTTCTTAAAATAAAACCTATTTGTTAATCGAACACACACACAGCACAGAAAGAATACTAATAACGAATTCGAACTAGGGTTAACAAAACTGTAGCTGATAACCATTGATTATTATAAAATTGAGAGTTTCGTGTCAATCTTCTTATGAGAGTATAATTATCTTTATTGTACAAATAAAACCATACAGGCCTTTAATAACAATTTACTCCTATTTCTGTAGAATGTTCAGAATCGAAAACAATCCTTATCGTAATGGACTGTAAACAAACCCTTGTCGACTTCCAAATTCACGCCAAATTTAGTTCTATAATTCATGAATGAAGTAAATGCATCTGATCTTGGTGTGAGGTTTCTTATTTCTATGAGTTTGCATCCTTTAAAGTGTGTACGGACACTCGATTCGGTATTATCTTGAAATAACACGAAATGTTTAGAATTTTTCTACACCAAATTTGCTCAGTTTTTACAATGTATGATATTTTGCAAAAAGAATGTTCAGCGTTTGATACTAAGTTAATTACTTGTCTAGAAATTGATTAATAGTCAAATCTTTTGATTTATCTTTCCAGAATTTTCTCATTTATTCACTTCTGTTTTTCAGGAAAAAAAAAGATTCTAATTTTTATATTTAGAGGCATCTAAGGTCGATACTAGAAAAAGTGAGCTCTAAACAGGGTCGATTCTTTTTTTTTATCCAGCTATTATACTTGCATATTTGGCTGTTTATGTTCTAGAAATTGTCTCGCATTTTGTGGTTTGTTGATCAAATAATATTTCATTATAGCATCTGTCTCAAACGAACTTGGCGCTATTAGCAAATGCAAGCAGCAATAAAAATATTTACTACCTCTTTCAAAAACACATGCCCTCTTTTTTTTTGTCATTTCTGAAACCCAAAAACTTTTGATCCTAAACTACCAGAAATTTTTGTTCATATTTCAATGTTTTGTGTGTAAGGAATCCTCAAAAAAAAAAAATATTGCGTTTACTCAGAAAAAAACACTTTTTATGCGTCTGATTTTGTACTTTAAATTATCGTTCCAAACTATCGTTTGCACTCACTCAGTGGTCCACAAAAAGTGTTCCGGGGAAAGATGAAAGGGTTTCCCTCGAGTTTTTTAACCAGTAAAGAATTTTGAAATCTGTAATTATATCTATATCCAATCAATAACCTATTATTTATTGAATATTTTTGGTTATTTATATGAAATAAACAAAATACTAGGCGGAGAAAAAAATTAGAAGAAAATATGCATTTTTTTACAATTAAATTCAATAAAAAGAAATTTGCTTCTTATTATTATCTTCTCCTCTTTTATTAAAACAAAAACCATAATTTTATTCCTATTTCAGTTTATGCATGTACTTCAAAAATAAATTTAGAATTTGCTCGAATTCAACTGCTTGACATAAAAACTTAATTTAAGACTAATTTTAATAAACCAGTGAAAAAATGTCATTCTTTATATTAAACTTTATCAAAATAAATAGTTGACTTTCTTTGGTTAATATATTCAGTATTGCTAATCCACCAAAAGAACGTCGATCATTTAGGGTTAAATAGCCGAAGAAAAAAATTTGAGATATTGCAGCACTAAATACAGCAATTTAGTTTAGTATAAGAACATAAAAACCAAAGCATTAAGTCAAAGGAGCGAAACTTATTATTTTTAATTAAGATTATTCAATACAATCATTTCTTTTTAATTCATTCCTGCCTAAAAGTATTCCTTATCAAAACTGAACTTTTAAAATTATAATATCAAACATTTTTAAATGTTTAGAATATTTTAAATGTAAAAAGACTTGTACTTTCAACTCAAAAATTAAATCAACAATATTTTATTTAAAAAAAATGAAACACGATATTAAAATTAAAAAAAAGAATCAACAATACTTTTTTTTTCAAATGTGACATGTCATTGCGATATTAAAAAATATGCATTCAGAATTTTTTGAAGAAAAAAAACGCATACTTTGAACTCAATAAACTCAACTGTATTTTTTTTTTAATGAAACATGTATTCTCAATATTGATAATTATGTAATTATCCATTTTCAAGATAATTTTCAATGATAGTTAAATGGTGCTGATTTTTTGCCAACTTCTTTGCGAAATCTCTCGAACAGTTTGAGGGTGGGGAGTCCTTCTTAAGAGCCAATCGAAATTCAGGTTTACAGTCTAAAAAAAAAATGATAATTATAATTAACGAATTGTTTAAAATGATATGATTCAGTGGCGTAGTTTTGGGGTGGGTTTGGGGGACAAAACCCCCTCCGAAATTAAACATTACGTGAATAATGAACTATTGTACGGTAAGTAGGATGTAGATATAAGAAAGTTTTCATTATTCATTTTTTGTAATGCATGAAATGCCGGCATTATATATAATGCCTGACGTTTTCAGGCAAAGTCTGAAATATGAGAAGTATTACATACTTTGCCCAGGCATTCTATATAATGCCGGATGCTATTTAGGCAAAGTATGAAATAAACGTCCTGATGAGGTTATTATGCAAAGATGTGCATGTTACTCTGAATGACCGAAATCGGTGGTTGTTGACTTTCACCGGTTAATGTATACAATCACATAGTCGCTTTGGTGAATGTCCGAAATATTTATTACAACCGATTTGATATTAATTTATTCGTGGATATAATTACATTTATTCGATATTTTAATACTTACTGACGATAGATTCGAAGAAACATCAGTGTTTAGAGTATCGGTCAAATATATACCGGGCAGTGGCCCTTGACCTTAAAAAAACATCAGTGTAGGGTATACCGGGCAATGGTTTTTTAAGGTCAAGGGCCACTGCCCGGTATACTCTACACTGATGTTTTTTTAAGGTCATGGGCCACTGCTCGGTATATATTTACCCGGTATACCCTACACTGATGTTTTTTAAGGTCAAGGGCCACTCCCCGGTATATATTTGCCCGATACTCCAAACACTGATGTTTCTTCGAATCTATCGTCAGTAAGTGTTAAAATATCGAATAAATGTAATTATATCCACGAAAAAATTAATATCAAATCGGATGTAATAAATATTTCGGACATTCACCAAAGCGACTATGTGATTGTCAACATTCAACGGTGAAAGTCAACAACCACCGATTTCAGTCATTCAGAGTAACATGCGCATCATTTGCATAATAACCACATCAGGACGTTTATTTCATACTTTGTTGAAATAGCATCCGGCATTATATAGAATGCCTGGGGAATGTGTGAAATATAAATCATTTCATACTTTACCCGGCTAGTTTTAGGCATTATATATAATGCCGGATTTCATACTTTGCCGGTAACATATATAAGCTGACCGGCCTATGTAGGGGGCAGGGAACTGTCCTTGCATCAGAAAGGTTCTGGGTTCGAATCCCGGGCAAGGCATGGATGTTCTTTCCTTTACTGTACTATCTGTCTGTGGGAGCGACGTTGGCCCACCTTATATGGTGCCCCTGAAAGAGAGGCCAACAAAAGCGCCCCGTATATGCCTGAATTGACGGATGTTAGCACAGATGGGCATCGGAAATATATATATATATATANATTGATAAATTGTGGTTTCTATATTCAAAGGAGGAATGTGGGGCAGAAAGGTTCGAATCCCAGAGAAGACATTCAGAGCTACCCATACTGTGAGAGCAAATAGGATGCCCTTGAAAAAAGTGGCCAACTACTCAGCCCTACCAGAATAATGATTGTGAATCTGGTGGAAAACAAAAAACAATCAAAATGTAGTCCGCCGGATAATTTTCGGAGATCATGTAAATGTTAGAAAAAGAAACGTGTTAGAAGGTTGCTACAAAGGGGTCTTTTTCCCTTTTTTCATTGTTCTTTAATTTTGTTCTTTAATTAACTTTGTGCATCTATTGATATTCTTCCCATCCAATGGGAAGGATTGGTTTTAACTTCCAGCCAATAAACGTCAAGTGTCAAAAATTTTTTTAATTAAAAAGTTGTTTTAATTTGATCTTGTACTACTTTTTAATTATTGCTCATGTTATCCTAATTTTTAATGACTTTTAGATTGCGTAGAAATGCTAATAATAGTATGATAATTTCTATAAGATCAGTCAAATAAATGAAAGGATTTTGCAAATAATTATCTTACTTGATGAGAGGATTGCGTCGAAATGCTTTCTCGGTCATCGATATTTCGACGAAAATGCCTGAAATATTCCTTCAACAATGATTTGCCAAATGAAAGATTCCGGTAGTGTAGTTCATATTCTTTGCTATCAAATTCATTCCTTTTACTTTCTTCCTCGGTGAAGCAATTTCCTCCGAAAACATATTTGTTTCTCAAACCATCTTTTGGTTTCTTGTGGTATAATCTAGATTCGGCAGGCTTACTAACCTCAGACTTAAAACTACTTTTATTATCCTTCTCAATTTTTTCCTCATCCTCAGAATTCTTCGAATCTATATCGTTTGATACTTTTTCATCACTTCTTTGAACAGAACTAGGTGTCGATTCATTCGAATAAAAATTCTTGATTTCGCTCTCTTCTGACAAAGAGTTGTCAAATGAAGGAGGAACTTTTGCTGAGAATTCCTCAGTTGTAACTTCTTTAAAGGTGTCTGCACTCAGAGATTTTTCGAGAAGGTCTTCGTCCTGGGTATCAGAAATGTCTGAAACATTCTGTTCTCTATCATCCGGAAGATAAATAGGTTCACCAGAATCACTAGGTACTAAATAAGTTTGGATAAAAGAATAATAATGCTCTTCCTCCTTAAAGGAAGTTTTTTCTGACATCTCGCCTTTCCCTTTATCTGAACTTGAAAATTCTGGAGAGTCTCCGTTCGTGCTTTTAATACGAGGAGTGAACCTTGAGAAGCTTTCTACTCTTCCTTCTATATCTTCTAGAGAATTTTTAGCTTTCACTACAGTCAAATCGCTGAGTATTAAAGATATGTCTGTATAAGTAAAAGAATCTTCCATAACTTCCTCCTTAACTATAATCGTTTCTGGTGCATTAAATGTTAATGTCTCGCCTTCCCCTTTATCTGAATTTAAAAATTCTAGAGAATCTCTGTGTGAACTTTTGATACCTTCAATGGAAGGGTTGTTTCCTGAAATGCTGTCTTCTACATTATTTTGAGAATCATCAGCTTCCACTACACTGGGTGTTAAAAATATTTCCGTGGAGATAAAAGAATGTTCCGAAGTAGTTGTTGTTTCTGATGCATCAACATTTAAAGAATGTTCCGAAGTAGCTTTTGTTTCCGATGCATCAACATTTAAAGAATGTTCAGAAGTAGCTGTTGTTTCCGATGCATCAACATTTAATGAATGTTCCGAAGTAGCTGTCGTTTCTGATGCATCAACATTTACTGTCTCGCTCTTCCCTTTATCTGAAATTGAAAATTCCAAGGAATCTCCATGCGGGCTTTCAATGTCCCTAGAGAAGAACTCTGTTCTTCCTTCAACATTATCTAAAGAACCTCCAGCTTTCATTTGACTTAAATAACTGGATATTAAAGAAATTTCCGAAGAAATAGAAACATGTTGTTCAACTTCCTCCTTAATGGAATTAGCAGTTGTTTCAATTGCATCAAAAGTTAATGTCTCGTTTTCAGCGGAACTTGAAAATTCTAGAAAATCTACATGTGTGCTGTCAATGCCATCCATACTATGGTATTGTTCTGAGAATCTTACTAGTCCTCTTTCCATATCGTTTATATATTTTCCAGCTATCACTGCATTTAAATCACTGGATAGCAAAGAAATTTCCATAGAAGTAAAAGAATTTTCCTCTACTTCCATTTGAATGGAACTAGCTGTTGTTTCAGAGCCATCAAACGCTAAAGTCTCGTATTTTTCTGAACTTGAAGATTCTAGAGAATATCTATGTAAACTTTCAATGCCATAAACATTCTCTTCTAAACTTCCTTCCACAGAACCTCCAGCTTTCATTTCATTTAAATCATTGGATATTACAGACATATTTGTCGGAGAATGTAATTCAAACTCCTCGTGGGAGCCTTTATGCATCCTTGCTTCTAAACTATTTGTAGAACCTAAGGTCACATCAGATTTTAAATTTTTAGGATCATTTATTAATAAAAAACTTTCAGCATCAGAAATAGAATAATCATTAAGTCTCTGTTCACTGAATGTTGCATTTATAGAGAAAGGTATATGATCAAAACTAGTGTTTAACTTTAAATTTCCAGCATCATCAACCTCTGAATACATTGTACTCTGCAACCTTCCATAAACACGTTCTGTTGAAGTAAAGGATTGGACAGATTTCGTTTTGTTTAAATCATTAAGAAAATGCAAATTTCTAGAAAGAGAAGCAGAATCGTCCTTGAGAAACAAAATAGTAGAATTATAAACTGCCTCTGTAGTTAGTCTCAAATACTCTAAACTGTCGCTATGATATTCATCCTTAATCCTTGTAATTTTATCGTCATGTCCATAATCAGTAGATTCAGCATTATTCTTTTCATGTGAATCTGCCTCAATGGATACTGCTAAGAAAACAGTTGTAGAATGTGCTGATGTCTGGTCTGCCTCCCTAGTTGATTTTAAATACTCAGTAAAATAATCAATAGATTCAATATCCTTCTTTTCATGTGATTCTGCCTCAATGGATACTGCAGTCAAAACAGTTGCAGAAAGTGCAGATGGCTGATCTACATCTGTAGTTGATCTTAAATACTCCGTAAAATAATTAGTTGATTCAACATCATTCTTTTCATTTGGTTCTGCCTCATAGGATACTGCAGTTAAGACAGTTGTAGAATGCGCTGATCTTTGGTCTGTATCTGTAATTGATCTTAAATACTCCGTAAAATAATCAGTAGATTCAACATCATTCTTTTCATGTGATTCTACATTATTGGATACTGCAGTTAAAACAGTTGTAGAATGAGCTGATGTCAGGTCTGCATCTGTTGTTGATCTTAAATACTCCGTAAAATAATCAGTAGATTCAACATAATTCTTTTCATGTGATTCTACCTTATTGGATACTGCAGTTAAAACAGATGTAAAATGTGCTGATATCTGGTCGGCATCTGTAGATGAACTTAAATACTCCGTAAAATAATCAGTAGATTCAACATCGTTCTTTTCATGTCGTTCTGCTTCATTGGTATCCAATGCAGTTAAAAGAGTTGTAGAATGTGCTGATATCTGGTAGGGATCTGTAGATGATTTTAAATATTCCGTAAAATAATCGGTAGATTCAATATCATTCTTTTCATACAATTCTACCTCATTGGATACTGCAGTTAAAACAGTTGTAAAATGTGCTGATATCTGGTCGGCATCTGTAGATGATCTTAAATACTCCGTAAAATAATCAGTAGATTCAACATCGTTCTTTTCATGTGGTTCTGCTTCATTGGATACTGCAGTTAAAACAGTTGTAGAATGTGCTGATATCTGGTTGGGATCTGTAGATGATTTTAAATATTCCGTAAAATAATCGGTAGATTCAACATCATGCTTTTCATGCGATTCTGCCTCATTGGATACTGCAGTTAAGACAGTTGTAGAATGAGCTGATCTTTGGTCTGCATCTGCAATTGATCTTAAATACTCCGTAAAATAATCAGTAGATTCAACATAATTCTTTTCATGTGATTCTACCTTATTGGATACTGCAGTTAAAACAGTTGCAAAATGTGCTGATGTCTGGTCATCATCTGCAGATGATCTTAAATACTCCGTAAAATAATCGGTAGATTTAACATCATTCTTTTCATGTGATTCTGCTTCATGGGATACTGCAGCTAAAACAGTTGTAGAATGTGCTGATGTCTGGTCTGCATCTGTAGTTGATCTTAAATACTCCGTAAAATAATCAATAGATTCAACATCATTATTTTCACGTAATTCTACCTCATTGGATACTGCATTTAAAACTGTTGTAAAATGTGTTGATGTCTGGTAGGCATCTGTAGTTGATCTTAAATACTCCGTAAAATAATCAGTAGATTCAACACCATTCCTTTCATGTGATTCTACCTCATTGGAAACTGAAGTTGAAACAGTTGTAGAATGTACTGATGTGTGGTCGGCATCTGTAGATGATCTTAAATATTCCGTAAAATAATCGGTAGATTCAATATCATTCTTTTCATGTGATTCTACCTCATTGGAAACTGTAGTTAAAACATTTGTAGAAAGTGCTGATATCTGGTCGGCATCTGTAGATGATCTTAAATATTCCGTAAAATAATCGGTCGATTCAATATCATGCTTTTCATGCGATTCTGCCTCATTGAATACTGCAGTTAAAACAGTTGTAGAATGTGCTGATGTCTGGTCTGCATCTGTAGTTGATTTTAAATACTCAGTAAAATAATCAATAGATTCAATATCCTTCTTTTCATGTGATTCCACCTCATTGGAAACTGTAGTTAAAACATTTGTAGAATGTACTGATGTCGGGTCGGCATCTGCAGATGATCTTAAATATTCCGTAAAATAATCGGTAGATTTAACATCATTCTTTTCATGCGATTCTACCTCATTGGATACTGCAGTTAAAACAGTTGCAAAATGTCCTGATGTCTGGTCAGTATCGGTAGATGATATTAAATACTCCGTAAAATAATCGGTAGATTTAACATCATTCTTTTCATGTGATTCTGCTTCATGGGATACTGCAGTTAAAAAAATTGTAGAATGTGCTGATATCTGGTCGGCATCTGTAGATGATCTTAAAAACTCCGTAAAATAATCAGTAGATTCTACATCGTTCTTTTCATGTGATTCTGCTTCATTGGATACTACAGTTAAAACAGTTGTAGAATGTGCTGTTGTCTGGTCTGCATCTGTAATTGATCTTAAATACTCCGTAAAATAATCAGTAGATTCAACATCATTCATTTTATGTGATTCTATCTTATTGGATACTGCAGTTAAAACAGTTGTAAAATGTGCTGATGTCTGGTCGGCATCTGTAGATGATCTTACATATTCCGTAAAATAATCAGTAGATTCAATATCATTCTTTTCATGCGATACGACCTCATTGGATTCTACCGTTAAAACAGTTGCAAAATGTGCTGATGTCTGGTCGGCATCTGTTGTTGATCTTAAATACTCCGTAAAATAATCAGTAGCTTCAACACCATTCTTTTCAAGTGATTCTACCTCATTGGATACTGTAGTTAAAACAGTTGTAGAATGTACTGATGTCTGGTCGGCATCTGTAGATGATCTTACATATTCCGTAAAATAATCAGTAGATTCAATATCATTCTTTTCATGCGATTCGACCTCATTGGATTCTACCGTTAAAACAGTTGCAAAATGTGCTGATGTCTGGTCGGCATCTGTAGATGATCTTAAATATTCCGTAAAATAATCAGTAGATTCAATATCATTCTTTTCATGCGATACGACCTCATTAGATACTTCAGTTAAAACAATTGTAGAATGTGCTGTTGTCTGGTCTGCATCTGTAATTGATCTTAAATACTCCTTAAAATAATCAGTAGATGCGACATCGTTCTCTTTAAGTGATTCTACCTCATTGGATACTGCAGTTAAAACAGTGGTAAAATGTGCTGATGTCTGGTCGGCATTTGTAGTTGATCTTAAATACACCGTAAAATAATCAGTAGATTCAATATCACTCTCTTTATTTGATTGTGCAGCGTTCGGGACTGCAGATAAAACAGTTGTCGAATAGGCTGATGTATGGTCTCCCTCTGTAGTTGTTCTGTCATACATTACAATGACTCCATGTGAAGCGTCTTTACTCCTTGTTACTTTATCGTCTAGTTCATAATCAGTGGATTCAACATGATTCCTTTCATTTGAGTCAGGAATAGTTACGAATGTATTAGATGCAGTTGTCTGGTGTTTCCCTCTGTCCGTATTTAGCAGTTCATTTGATTCCTCGATTATTTTCATACTTGTATCCACTTCATTTATTAAATCATTTATGTTTGCACGCTGGATAGAAGAAACGGAGCAATCCGTATCATTTTCTTCCTCATTATACACTGGAGTTGTTACGAATGCATTAAATGTTGTTATCTGGTGCTTCCCTCTGTCCGTATTTAGCTGCTCCTTTGATCCTTCCATTAATTTCAGCCTAGTATCTACATCATTTATTAAATCATTTATAATAGTACTCTGGATAGAAGAAACTGAGTAATCCGTTTCATTTTCTTCCTCATTTGAGTCAGGAGTAGTTACGAATGTATTAGATGCTGTTGTTTGGTGTTTCCCTCTATCCGTTTTTAGTTGTTCATTAGATCCTTCCATTAATTTCATCCTAGTATCTGCATCATTTATTAAATCATTTATAATAGTACTCTGGATAAAAGAAACTGAGTAATCCGTTTCATTTTCGTCCTCATTTGAGTCGGGAGTTGTTACGAATGTATTAGATGCTGCGGTTTCGTGTTTCCCTCTATCCGTTTTTAGCTGTTCATTAGATCCTTCCATTAATTTCTTCCTAGTATCTGCATCATTTATTAAATCGTTTATACTAGTACTCTGGATAGAAGAAACGGAAAAATTCGTATAATTTTCTTCCTCATTTGAGACTGGAGATGTTGCGAATGTATTAGATGTAGTTGTCTGGTGTTTCCCTCTGTCTGTGTTTAGCTGTTCATTAGATCCTTCCATTAATTTCATCCTAGTATCTGCATCATTTATTAATTCGTTTATAATAGTACTCTGGATTGAAGAAACGGAGTAATCCGCTTCACTTTCTTCCTCATTTGAGTCGGGAGTTGTTACGAATGTATTAGATGCTGTTGTTTGGTGTTTCCCTTTGTCCGTGATTAGCTGCTCCATTGATCCTTCCATTAATTTCATCCTAGTATCTACATCATTTAATAAATCATTTTTAATAGCACTCTGGATAGAAGAAGCGGAGTAATCCGCTTCATTTCCTTCCTCATTTGAGTCGGGAGTTGTTACGAATGTATTAGATGCTGTTGTTTGGTGTTTCCCTCTATCCGTTTTTAGCTGTTCATTAGATCCTTCCATGAATTTCACCCTAGTATCTGCATCATTTATTAAATCGTTTATGATAGTACTCTGGATAGCAGAAACGGAAAAATTCGTATAATTTTCTTCCTCATTTGAGTCGGGAGTTGTTACGAATGGATTAGATGCTGTTGTTTGGTGTTTCCCTCTATCCGTATTTAGCTGTTCCTTTGATCCTTCCATTAATTTCATCCTAGTATCTGCATCATTTATTAAATCGTTTATAATAGTACTCTGGATAGAAGAAACGGAGTAATCCGTTTCATTTTCTTCCTCATTTGAGACTGGAGTAGTTACGAATGTATTAGATGCTGTTGCATGTTGCTTCCCTCTATCCGTTTTTAGCTGTTCCTTTGATCCTTCCATTAATTTCATCCTAGTATCTACATCATTTAATAAGTCATTTATAATAGTACTCTGGTTAGAAGGAACGGAGTAATCCGTTTCATTTTCTTCCTCATTTGAGTCGGGAGTTGTTTCGTAAATATTAGATGCAGTTGTGTGTTGTTTCCCTCTATCCGTTTTTAGCTGTTCATTAGATCCTTCCATTAATTTCATCCTAGTATCTGCATCATNTTTCTCATTTGTGTCTAGAGTTGTTACGACTACATTCGATGTAGTTTTCTGGTGTTTCCCTCTGTCCGTGTTTAGCTGTTCATTTGATCCCTCCATTATTTTCATCTTTGTCTCCACATCATAAATTAAATCAGAGTACTCATCAGTATATATATTATTTAAATCATTTATTATAGCACTCTGGTTAGAAGAAACAGAGTAATCTGTATAGTTTTCTTTCTCATTTGTGTCTAGAGTTGTTACGACTACATTCGATGTAGTTTTCTGGTGTTTCCCTCTGTCCGTGTTTAGCTGTTCATTTGATCCCTCCATTATTTTCATCTTTGTCTCCACGTCATAAATTAAATCAGAGTACTCATCAGTATATATATTATTTAAATCATTTATTATAGCACTCTGGTTAGAAGAAACGGGGTAATCTGTTTCATTTTCTTTCTCATTTGAGTCTGGATTTGCTGGGAATGTATTAGATGCAGTTGTCTGGTGTTTCGTTCTGTCCTGTTTTAGCTGTTCTTTTGATGATTTCATTATTTTCTTCCTTGCTATTAGCCCTTCTGAAGACTTCCTGGATTCAAAAGATTTTGTTTTACTTAGATCTAAATATAAGGAAGGAATTTCAGTGAAAATTTCTACATGTTCCTTGACTTTTTGTTTAATTGTTGTTAAAACTGATGCATTACTTCTTGGTACCGCAGAATTTGAATTACGATATACCACTCGTAAATTTTCGCTGTTTTCCTTATTCGCTTCGACATCCTTTTGGTGACCCATATAGTCTCGAATATTCTCTTCATTTTCATTGGAATCTTCATAGGAGTCTTCATAATCTTCAATTGTTTGTATTTTGACTGCTCTTTCGAAATGATTCATTCCTGATGATTGTTTTTCAATAAATGCTGATGAATTTGTAAAATTTCTTACAAAGAATTCAACTGCTTTCTCTCTAAATGGTTCATCAGTTATTAAATGATTGATAATATTAGTGTCTAATCTATTTTCTGTTTTTCCTTTTTTAGGTTCTTTTCTCTTGTAATGATATACTTTGTTTTTTTCAAGTAATTGTTCAGGAATATATCTCTTTGAAAAACTAGATGCATGTCTATGTTTATCAAGTTCACGTAGAATAGTTTCATCCATAAAATTATTTTTATTTTCTATGTTTGAAAAAGGCATTATTTTCAAATGGAAAGGTGACGCAGCTTTCAAGGGTACATTTTTCGTCTGGTGAAATAATTCTGATTTTCTGGACATTTGAAGGATTTTATCGTTTTGCGTTATTTCTGATTCCAGGGAGGGATGTTTTGCTGAAATATTAAATATGTCTTATTTCAGTGAGATTCACAATCGATAAACAATCATTATTAACAAACATTTATTTCTTGAAAATAAGTCTACTTCTAATTATAATACAGTCAACCCCCGTAATAGTGAACATGGTTTATAGTGAACTCCCGGATAGAGTGAAGGAAATGAAATAAAAGTGAACACATTTTTTGTTGCAACATATTGTTTTTTAATCATTTTTGTATTTATTTTTATGAGTCATTAATTTAAATAATGTGTCATAAAAGGGAGAAGTTTGGAAAAATGAGTTAAAATTGTTTGCAATACGGATATAGTGAACCGAAATGTCGGTCCCTTGAAAGTTCACTGTAGCGGGGTTTGACTGTACTATTTTATAATTATTTTTCGTTAAACAGCCTGTCTTTTGAACTCCGCTACAATTTTAAGTTGTTCTTATTTACCTATTTTTAGTTCTGCTGCAATGTAACTGGCGACACGTCTCAGATATACTCCTGTAATTGATTCAATCGTTACAATTTTAGTTTTCGACAGTCTCCCACTCTTTGGTAACCCAATCACATGAGCTCCTTACGGTAGATCTCTTCAAAGTGTTCACCCACCCGCTCACTGCCAGTAATGCTTGTCTTCGGTGTTTTACAATCAATCCCTTGTTGGACTGCAGAATTTATAAATAAATGTCCCTTTAAATCCTCACTTCATTTCTTATGCCTTATTGCTACAAATTTTAATATTTATTTTTTTTCTCGGTGGCACAATACGTAATTGTTAGTGAACTATATGATTTCCGTTTAAATTTTTTGAAATTTGCTTACAGCAGTAAACTTGAAGAAGAAATATTTTCGTCCAGTTTAACTTGAAAAAAATCTCAGGAAGCTTTAAGAAAAAATTTCTTGAAAAATAACACTTATCTAATAGTTAAACGTAAACTTCTGCGCTGAAAATTTCTACAAAACCAAAAATATCAAATAATTAAACCCGCCTGATTCGTCCAGTTTTTTCGAAATTATTTAGCTCTTTCTTGAAACACTTTGGGCATTTACAAAATTTTATTTTTTGCAGCTTTCTATTATCAATTCTCAAAATAGTACGTATGAGTCTAATAAAAAAAAGCAACGAGTTTAATGAACGCAGACATAACTTTTCATTACATATATCACCATTTCCATTCCCGATCCCTCATTTATTGTAAATGAAATCGATATGTTATGAAAATAAATTCATGTTTAAAAAAAAAAAGTTTTATAATGGTGTGCGAAATTTTCACAAAATGAGAACCAAAAAGCAGACTAAACAAACTTTATAGGAGAACACAAATCAGTAGGAAAAAGAGGGTATTTTTGTCAACTAAATGAGTAATGATTTTTTAACAAAAAGAAATCGTAACGCATCGATTATAAAAATTGTCGTCTAGTGAAGAAAAAAAATTACAAACTGTAGAGTAATAGAGAGCTTTTGTATAGCGCTAGCTTTATTTTCTTCTCATTTGGATGATTTATGGAAAAATTACAGCTCAACCATGACCCTATCCTAAATTTCTCTAATATCTCTTTGAATTCAGTGTTGAAAAATACCAAACAACACTCTTCTACTAAATATCTTAATACCGATAAGGAAAAATTCTTACTCACAAACAAGCATAATTTGGATATCGTTAGAACTCTTTTTACCTTCAATTAGGAGATGGCGCAAATTTGTTATTATCAACAGAAATAAAAGTTCGTCGTTACAAAATGTAAGTACGTGTTTAGTTATATATTAAGGATGACTCAATTTTAATTTTAAAAAGTAAGAATAAAAAGCATTAAATAGTTTTGTATTTAATTTACATCCGCTTCTGTTCCATTTAGCCTAATTCGTCTTTCTTTGCTACACGGAAAAAACTTTGCCACCATTTTTGTGGTACAGAACTATAGTGATCGCACAAGAAAATGATATAAAATTAACAATTGTATCAAAGAATACATAACTAAAAATGTGCTTGTTTTTTAACTGGAATGTTTTTGCGATTAAGCCTTAAATTGATTCGAATGCCCCAAAAAATATGTGTTGTCAGTAAATAAACAAACAAACGTGAATAAAATTAGATTTCGTTTTTTGTTTTCTTTTTTTTTTAAGTGTACTTTGCATGATAATCGTATGAAAATGAAATATTTTATCTCATTTTTTTTTAAAAGACTAACAAAGCTCACTTGAAAAATAATAGTTCCTATCCTTCTTCGTCAGAGGTTTCGAAAGGGCATTCTAAAAATAAAATGAAAACACCTTGAGTCAAAAATGTTTTATTTCAAACAACAATTTTATAAAGATTTCCCTTGACTGAAATTTCCGTCAACCAATTGGAATACGTTTCATTTCTAAGTAAAATAGTACAGACTTAGCTACCACAGTCATGGATTGAAGGCAATCTTTATACCAGACTTTCGTTTTACTATAACCGCGCCATTTGTAAACCAAAATGCAGTTAGGAGAACTTTCTTGTGGAGAATCCAAAACAGCAATAAAAATTAGGCGGTTCCTTTTCAAGATTTTGAAGCTGACCTCAATCCTAACCCTGAGTATATCCATTTGTCTGGACCCGTGGTGGTGACTATGGTAACGTGGTATACTATTTCAAGTAAGCGAGTGGGGTCTATGTTTAGGACAGTCTTTTGCTCGGGTCAGATAACGAAAGGGAATCCTTTTTCCTCGGTCGGAGTTCTTACTGTAGACAAACTATAGGAGATCGAGTTTAGCATCATTGAATAGATCATGTTTTAGGTTGGGGCAATTTTTGATCCGGAGCCCCGATGGCTCAGGGGAAAGCGCGTTCGCCTTCCAATGTGGGTTCGATTCCGGCGATGGCTGGACGATACGAATTCCGCATCCGACTTGTACCGACCACAGTGCTGACGTGAAATATCTTTAGTGGTAGACGGATCACGGGTCAGAGTCCCCTTGCCGTTAGGCTAACCGTGGGAGGTTCTCGTGGTCTGCCTCTCCATGTAACGCAAATGCAAGTTAGTCCCATCAAAAAGTCGAAGGCAAATTTCCCCCAATACTTGATCCAGGAGTTCCCTTGTCTTCTGGATTGGGTTCAAAATGACAATGCTTGGGAGAGTTGAACATTCGTTGTCGTAAACCGGTTGTTCAACGACGGTTATAAAATAATTTTGATCCGATCTCAAGAATAATGTATATTTCGTGACTGTTTCATACTTTTCTGTACACGCAGGAATAAACCAATAAAAGAAGAAGTTTAATGCACCTACTTGTTTTCTTCGACTTTCAGAACTGTTAACAGAGTTACCAGGAAATCATTAAAGAAAAATAGATTGTGTAATAACCCCTTTTACAGGACTTCTCTTTTTATGCTCACTTCAGATGAAAGCATTTTTGGAATTCATTTATAAAAAGAAACTCAAAAACATTTTAGCTTTTTTTAAGACCGCTTTGTTTAGGGAGATTTTACCTAGTGTCGGCCATGCACTTCTGTACTTATAAATAACCATATTTATAAATTCTGAACGTGGGGAGAGTAGATGAAATAAAGAAAGAAAAAGTTTATCTTCCCACGGAAAACCTTTACTGTTACCCACATATATGTAAACAAAGGTTTATTTTTAAATTTTCTGAAGTGATCAATACACAGGTGGTCATTTAAAAATAAATGGTATACTTTTTGGAGGAATAAATTAAAATCTTCTATTGAGATTTCTGATTGAATATGCGTTGTTCGGAATAGTGGATGCATTAGAGGGCGTTGCGTTGTCATCAACCGCCTTAAGAACACACTATACTATTTATTACACTATTAACACTGTGCTTGTTATTATGTTACAGATTTCCATCTCATGAAGTGAACCGGGTTCGAATCCCAACGATGGCTCGCACCGATCTCAGTGCTGACGTAAAATATACTCAGTGGTAGACGGTTAGACTCCCCTTCTAGGTGTTGCCATATTTTTGACAGATATACGGGTAAAATGTATGGCAAAATTTTAACATAGGTAGAACCACACTGGACATCCTATGGTATTTTCTCATATAGCAAATTTTTGCTATAAAATTATGGGGTGCCCTTGATTCAAGTTTTCCATGGGCAATGTTTCTTCACATCCCAATGGAAGTTTATCGATACATAGACAAACTAGGTCATTCAATTAGAGTGACCTTTTCTACAAGAAACGATTAGGATACAAGAGAAATAATGGGGAGTTATTAAATAATTATGAAAAGACAGTAAGAACCAAACAATCAGAAAAGAATAATATGAGTTACGAACAAGATATCAATTAGCGAAATTCAAGCATTCATTATAGTAGGACTAATTTTGTTAATAAAACGGACTAAGTTCAAAAACTTAGGTTATCGATTCATTTCAAGAAGTTTAAAAAAAAATTAGCCTAATAATTCTCCGTCGTGAAGCGCATGCCTGGAAACGTCTAAAAACGAAATTCTGTTTTTTCGTTTTAAATTTCTATAATGTGGGCGAACTTTATTGGAAAGTACTATTGATTTTGATAGATTGGATCTAAATTGTCGGAGTAAACCCCCATACGAATGGCGTTTCCATTAGTTTAGTTCCATAATTGTGATGTGCCATACAAATCTCTATACATACCATACGAATTTTTACGGTTACCATAAGCTTAAGGTATCCTGCCATAAATTACCACAGGCGTGCTGACAACACATTTTCCACCATTCTACTCTTAACATTTATTTTAAGTAAAAATAAAAAACGTAATAAATATGTCTTATTTCCTTTTTATTTTCCTATTTTAACATGAAATACGTGTATTTGGTGATAGCCAGAAGCTCACCATGGCGTTCATTTTTATTCGCTATTAAGAATTGGCGTTATAACGGACATTCGTTGTAGCAAATTATAAAAACATAAGAATGGGTTCTCACCTTTTGTATCTGACAGACGATCCATAAGAACGATGACACAAAAATGAAATACATTTTTTTAAGTCCCCGGAAATGGAAGAAAATACTTAACCCTATTTAACAAAAATAGATATCATTTGAGACGCTATGTGAAAATCCGCGTCTGGATCCAAAATAACGGATTCCCAAATTATTCTTGGAATCAAAATATTGATTTAAACTTTTCTGTATTTACTCATCTCCCCCCCCCATTTATGAATTTAAACAGTTTATTGAGATTTATTTCAATGATGTGCGCATCATCCTTCATACCTTTTCAATTATTTTTTTACCCGCCTCATACTATTCCCTTATTTGTTTTAGAATATATTTTCACCAGCAGAGTGCGTAGCCAGATTTTTCAACAAAACCTAAGCATCTTTCAAGCACTCAAAAAATATTTTTAATCACTTTTCAAAAATAAAAAATCATAATTAGGATCTGTGCAGTAGTAAAAAAAAAATTCTATGTAAGTTCTTATTTTATAAACATTAAATCAATAAAATTAGAAAACAATTTCAAAAACGTATCAATAAAATTAGAAAACAATTTCAAAAACGTTACATAATCATGATAAAATAACTAGTGTCTGATAAATATTGCAGAGAAAATTGTGAAAATCGAGCATTTTTTATAATTTAGAATAATCGATACGGCCAAGAAAAAATATCTTTTTAACAGGTAGAAAATTACACTTTTTACAAACTCCGCTTTTAAAACCTCTAAGCACTCTGTCCTGATATTCAAAAATTATAAGCGGCGTTATCTTACATTTTGCAGGGGTGATTGTGAGCTTATGTCAAAATTCCGGAAAATTTCTAAAGTTAAAAAAATAGAGAAAAGAAAAGAAAAAACAAGTTAAATTAAAAAAAATTTAAACAATGTTTTTTTCTTCCTTTTTCTCAATATTTCTTAGTTTACTTAAAATATATTTAAAATTTAACACATACCTAGATGACTTGGAGAAGTAATTAAAATTTACAAATATGTATTTCTTTCTTGAGTTTATGATTATAACAACTATTTACTGATAAAAAATGAATATTAATCATGAATATAAGCTTAAAGTATCTCTCCGGCTCTCACTTGTTACTAACAAATTTAATAAACTGAGTTTTTAAGTTCCACCTTTGAAAATTTGATTTCCGGTAACTTCTGTGATCCATGATTTTTTGAAACGTCTAGACATTCGATCTCCGGAAACTTTCGAAAATTCTTGGCGAAAAATCCGGATTTTTTCCAGAGCACAATCAGCCCTGATTTTGAGCCCCCAACTCAAAAATCCTGAAAATTTCTCGAGTAAAATCATTAATGACCCATTTCAAAAAATTTATGTCTTTATAAATTTAAATCATTGATATTTTCAAAACATGAAATTCTAATTAAATTGCATACAGCATAATTTAAATCAATAATTATGTGTAAGTTTAATTTTATCTCTCATCGCATTCAATATACAACCAGAAAAAAATATTGACACATGAAAGAGATGCGAAATATAAATTCTAGTTCTAATATTTCTAAATAAAATATACAAGATTTCTTTTCATGCATAAAATTCAGAACCTTGAAAATTCAGTTGGATTTCCGGATCCAGGTTAACGAAAAATCCGAATTTTTTTCTTTCCAGAGAACAATTATCTCTGTTGTCGAGCAGTGCAACTTGGGTCCCCAATGGACCACTATTCAATAAATGCCCTAAGGGGCCCCCATATAGAACTTTTCGTGTAGGGATTTCCCAAAGTAAAATTGTTGCTAAGGGTAGGGCAGACACTTTCCGATCTTCATTACCTAAATTAGATTTAAATATCTACTCTTTTCGAATTATTTGTGTTTCTTCTTACTGTTTAATGCGATACTTAACATAACCTCTTTTTAAAAAAAATAAGACGAAATAGTTTAAGAAGACACCACTCATTGCGAAATAAAACTTACTTGTCTCACTCCTGGAATATATTTTAAAGATAAAATCAGATTTTTAAGAATGATGCGAGATAAAGTGCTAAATATTTTTAAAAGTGTCATGGTCGAGAATGTTCAGCCATAAATGGCATTCTTTCACCTTATCCAGAGTGCGTTGCCAAATTATTCTACAAAAAATAAGCACCCTTTAAGCACTCAAAGAATATTTTTAAGCACTTTAAAAAATATCATAATTAGGCAAGGTTGGAATGTGTTTGACAATTGACAGCTTTATCTTGCATAAAGTCATGTCGATAGAGAAAAAACTTTAGGCATTGTTTTTGACAATTGTCAAAAATCATGAAATTTTGAATCGGGTAAAACAAATGGCGTTTCCATACGTTACGGACTGACAATACGTAGTAGATTGATTGTAATTCGTAGCGAAAATCAACATGGTAAAGGAAAAATCTCACCTTTAAGCGAAAATTAAGCACCTTTAGGGCTTGTAAAAAAACAAAAATAAGCACCTTTAAGCACTTTTTAAAAACGCTATGCACCCTATTACTATAACTTGTGAATTTCAAATCGGAGCTATATCACTTTTTGACGAATTTATTTCGTAGAAATTCTATCGATTTTTCTGTTGTCATTAGAACTAGAATATATAATGGCTCGTGCCACAGATGGAGGAGTTTCTCTTTCTCTTGAGGTGGCATAACTGTAGCGAAAACAAAATACAGGTCCCTAAATAGATTTGAAACAGTTACTTACATAGGATCAATTATTACTAATGATAATAAAAAAACTGACTCACCAGGTAAATAAGACTGATAAGATCTAGGTTTCTATCCAGAAATGTTATCTTATTATAGACATTTTTTATTTAATGAACCCGAGTACTAGGCTACATTTTAAGACTTTCAAATTCATCACTCATTCCAAGAATTTTTCATGTGAAAAACAGAATACATTTAAAAAAGCATTATAATAACATTCATTGAAATGACACTGTTATACTCTGCATCTTCATATTTAAAGATTTAAAAACGAAATTGAAGAAAGAAATAAAGCAATAAAACAGTTGGAAAAAAATACAAAAAAAATTTTTTTTTCTGCATAATTATACTCGAAAGATGCTTTTCTTGTTGATCAGAAAGGAAGAAATACTACTGATCGGTTCTCATTTCGGAAAGGAAAAAAAAATTTGCCAATGACTGGCTTGCTTCGGCTACAATTTTAAATTGATAAAATAAAAATAATCAATATTTTGAAATCAGTTTAAAAGATAATTCGCTCTAGAAATGGTTTTTCTTTCTTTTTTAAAAGAACACCATAATTTTTAAAGAACATGATAAACATTTTATAGTTCAATAAAATACGACTAAGGGGAGATTTCGTTAGAAATTCAGATATTTGGAACACCATGAAATGGGGGAGGGATTCATGACTTTCCAGGTGCGCAGATTAAGGATTAATTCGACTTACAAGAAATGTCTTCATAAATAAAAAAAATTACCTATCACTGACACAACCCAACAGAAACTTGAGCAGGAGGGTACATTCAAATTTCAATACAAAAATTACAAAAGAATAGAAATACAGGATGAGATTTATTTATTTGCCAATAGAATACATTAAGACTTTCTTATTTGACTTGCAATTCTGTCTAAATCTCTTCTTCCTTGGTTTGACAGCTTTCTTCCCCTGCAACAACACAAAAAGATATTTGCATTAACACAGTCAATTCAATATACACTATTCTAGAAATCCCCAACTTGACCAGTAAAATAGAATGTTGGAGTGCTGACACAGAATTTGTTCTGAACATAGACACCATCCAGTGCCGTATCAGTACAAGTATTTATATTTATTTTCATTTAAGAAAGCATATTTAAAATAAAAATGATTCAATTAAATTTTACTTTGTTAAATTAGAACTAAAAAATAATCATAACACTTTGAAAAAATTTGAAACTTATTAACACTTTACAATATCAAAGCTACTATAAAATTGGTAATCAAAAATCTTGTTTTCTGCTCTTGATCTAATAGAATTATGGACACTAAAAAAAATTATGAGACATTTCAGTTGAGGCACTAAATAACTTCTTTTTCATTTAAAACGTCTTCTCAATAATGTCAACATTTAATTCTTTGCTTCTTGTTTAAACAAGTCTCAGTTTGCTATAGTACTGTCTTCAATCTTTTCGCGCGCAAACCAAAATGACAAATTTGAATTTAAAAAACATTGCTAAATCTTATAATACATAAACAATAACAATACTAACATTATGTAAAGAAATTATCGTACTTTAATAATATATAATTAAAATTTATTTTTTTTAATCATTGTTTTCTTAATTTTTTAAAAATTTATTTTCAAAAATTTAAGGGGGTCTCTAATTATTGGGGGCACCAGGCTATGGCCTACTAGGTAATCCAGCACTGATACTTTCTTATTCATGGGAACTCTTTGAAATGGAGCTTTACATGTAAATACGGATATTTGATTAACCATTTACCTTACCAATTTTTTTGAAGAAAAAAGAACGCAAAAAAAAAATTTTTTTTTATTTCTTTAATTAGGGGTCTGTCCAGACAATTTGTAAAAAGGTCCTGTTTTTGTGAAATTGCGGAAAAAAACTATGTCTAATTTGTGAATATAAAATAAGTGGTAAGTCATATTCTTTTAACCAGGGTCCTTTTTTTTTGAATTTATGCAAATAGTGTCCTGTTATTGCAAATATTGCTGAAAACCTTTTCAAGAAGTTTTTAAATTGTAAATAGATACAAGATTCTGCTCAGCAATTGCTGCTACTAAATTAGAGATGCAACATACAAATATTTGGCATTTAGCCTATACTGCTCAACACAGAATATTCATTTCAGAGTAAACAAATTCATTTTCAATAATTTCTAATTTCAATTGACATATTTTAAATAACACAACTTAGTAATGTATCACTTTTAATGTGTGACGCATTAAGTAAACTTAAACAATTCTTCAATTTATAATAATATTTTATTTAAAAAAGTATCAGAAATTTATTTTTATTTACATAATATTCTATTGATACATTTTATGAATAAAAATAAATTGATCAATTATTTTATTTACAAAAAAAAATATGATTTAATATTAATAAGAATGTGCAAACGATGTTTGTAAAAGTAGAAATATTTTCTTAGAATACTACATTTGGAATTTAAACTTAGGGAAACTTAGTTTCTCTCAGTCTTTCTAATCTCTCAGTCTTAATAATCTAGAGCAGTATTCTCAACAAGTTGAATATTCTTAACAACTTATAAGAACTTAAAATACCAAGCGAGCACACTGAACAGGTGCAGGAGGAGCTACTAATATTCTTTGAATCGCTTGGTTTCACTCTGGCAGAATTTTTTCGAGCTATCTGCGACAAACCTCTCTAGCTCTAATATCTTCCTGCAAGATACTTTTAATACAGGGCGCGTAGCCAGATTTTCAGCAAAAAATAAGCACCTTTTTAGTACATTTTAACCACTCAAAAATATTTTTAATCACTTTCCAAAAAAAAAAAATTTCTATCGTTTAAAGTTCTTAATTTATAAACATAAAATCAATAAAATTCAAAAACATTTTCAAACAATTTACATAATCATGATAAAATAACTAGTTTCTGATAAATAGTGCAGAGATAATTGTGAAAAATCATGAATTTTTTGTAATTTAGAACGACAATCGACACAGCAAAGAAAAAAATCTACTTAAAAGACAGAAAATTAAGCACTTTTTACAAATCCTGAATAAAATAACACCTGTAAGTCCTTTTTAAAAACGCTACACACAGTGTAATAGTAACAAATATGTTACTAATTAATTAATAATTAAATATTAATAATTACTAATATAGTTTTATAAATAATTAATTAAAATGCAATGTTAAAAAAAACTAATTGTTTTAATTTTTTTTTAATTCTAATATTATTTTTTATAGTAATACTCTTACATTTTGTGGAGCAGGGGTGAGGAGGGGGGGGGGGTTACGCAAATTGTTTCCTTCATCGCATTTTGTAATAATCATAATAAAAAAATCATGAAATCTGTCATTAAAAAAAAGGTAAGATTACAAAATAACGCAAATCAGACACCTCAATGCCTCTTTACTTTTCAGCGATTCATCAACAATAAAACCAATGGAAATAAAGAGGTTGGAAATTAAGGACTTCCAAAAAATGAGAATCAAAATGAAGTAGGGTGATCAAAAAACGCAAACATCTATTTTGTGAAAAAACTATTCAAAATAGAATTTTAATATTTACTGGAAGTTTGAGGCTATATGGGATGAGTCCAATGCCACCTTCTTTTGTTTGAAAATCTAATTAGAATTTAAAAGATTTTAAATTTTTAGTGATCAGGAATTACCCCTGGTCTTGATCATTTCTGGGGTAATTCCTGATCACTTATGGGGTAATTACTGATCACCAGTTTTTATTGTAAAGGGGCTGTTTAAAAATAATTATCTGCTTGGAATTAACAAACAAGATATCAAGATCAAACAAATGAACCAAAAAGATATGTTTAAACAGCGAATAAAACAGTTAATTTAAAAGCAAGAAGAACGATTAACACTTTAAATTTTCAAAAATCTTTACATTATGCCATACATTTTAGGCAATCAGCCAACTCATTTTCATGTTCTTCTGAAATATAAGAGAGTTCCCACCTGGGTTACTTTTGCTGGATTTTGAGCTTCATTAAGGGAAAGTGTAAAGTTTTAGTAAGGTATGCCAACAGCTCTGGCAGCAGCTCTCACACTGAAATTTTCATTTTCAATCATTAAAAGAAATTCACTAATTTTGTTTTCTAGAAGCTTAGTATCCTCTTTAGGCTTATAATTTCTCACCATATTTATACTAAGCTAATTTATAAACTTAAAAATTATTCTAACGATGTACACACATAAAATTAAGATAGAAGCAAGGTAAGACAAACCAGAAATGGTGCAAATCAGAATACAGTCTTGTATACAGTTAAAAAAAAATTTTGTGATGACAATTAAAATATACTTTATAGTTGTTCCACTTAATAAATATGAACTGTTATTTAAGAAAAGACAATTAGGTATTTATAAGCTATTTTATATACTATTTATAAGAAGAAATGACAATGATCAGGAATTACCCCAGTGATCAATAATTACCCCATCTGTAGGGGGCAACATTTGATATAGTTTCCTATAATCAATTATAATGTTTACAGTAGATGTGAAACAATTAAACAAAAGCTTACACTACTTTTATATCAAAGAAAAAGAAAGTGACTCAAATTATTTATGATTAAGAGAAGGAGGGGGATCTTTGCAGAAATGTACACATTTTGAAACCCATCTTTGAAATGGAAAATACAGAAAGCAGTGAATTACCCCAGGTCACCCTACTTTTAAGGAACCTTCATTTCCAAAATAAAAACACTGTTTTTATGACCCTGTAATATTAATTTTTCAAACATAAGCAATATTAATTTCTTACTTAAAATGATAAAAACTTTCATTGCACTCACATCTTCACCACATAAAAAAGTGTCATATTATACATTTATTTAAAGAAAAACTTCCATCAGCTAATGTATAAAGTGGAATAAAAATCATCAGGTTTTGTGAGCTGAAAACAAAATTGCTGAACTCTCTATCACTTCGACATAGATAGGAAAAAAACCAGTAGATTTTGGGAAATTAAATTTCACTATAATTGTCTCAAATATTTTACACATAGAGAAGTTTAGGGATTTTTATAGTCATCAAAATAGAAAAACTGCAATATTTTGAGGTTATGATGGACATGAAATGAACTTGAAATGTTATGTATTATGTTTACTCATAATTTTGAATTGTTAATGGTATTTAATTCAAAGATAGTTAAAAAAAATTATTAATTAATTTAAAAAGAAAGTTTTGAATCAAAATAAACTTTATATTTTAAAACAGAAAAACTTTAATATTTATTAATGAGGCTCGCTTCCTTATGTATTAGTAACACTTATTTAAATTAAAAATATTCAAGCAAGCAATAATCTGCACAAAATTTTCTATTTCCACAGGGATTATTTAAGGAAACTTCCACAATTTTAGGAAAATTTCTAAAATATGAAACCAGTAGAAACTGGAAAAATCCAATAGTCCACTGGAAAAACCAGTAGAGTTGGCAGCTATGCTTTAAGCATTCAATCTTATCACTGTAATATCAACAACTTTTAATATTACCAGGGCTTTTTACAAATTTTTTTTAAAAGAAAAACAATCCATTTAGTTTTAACCAACCGATTTAGAGAAGGAAAACAAACTCCATAATATAGAAAGCAGACTTACCCGCTGGGATCTTGCTCAACAAGTTTCAGATTCTCCAGAGCTTGTAATGCTTTGCGTGCAACACTTGATGAACCCCTGCAATATCTGGATGGGCGTGTACCCCTTCTATACCTTCCACCATAGATTTTGGTCAAAGCCCCAACACCTGCAGGGGATCTTATGTACAGGTGCCTTGCTACAGATGCTATAGAAAACATGTAATATCATCCAAGCATTAATAATCACAATTAGCTTTCAAGTTTTTTCAGATCAAATATAAACAAATTTATGATTGCATCACGAGATGAAATGACATTAAAGACTAGTAAATAACCCATGAATGTTCATAGACAGATGGGCCAATATCATAGCTGCCAACATTAGGAATCAAAAAATTAGGAACACTACACGAGACAAAATTATAGGCACCAATTAAGAGAGTAAGACTAAAATTTAATTCAGGGGTAGCAGCAAAGTTTTAAAATTTTAGGGTAATTTTAGGAACTTTTTTCAAAAAATTTTAGGTAAATTTTAGGGGTAATATATGATTTTGCTAGGAAAAAAACAGATCACACGGTAGTTTATTACATAACAGAAGATTATTACAATTCATCCACACATATTATAAATAGTTGCAAGCCATAAAATAAAACTCTGAAATTTATTAAGTCAAGAATGAAATCTCTAAAGTGTAAAAATGAAATTTCAACTTTACATATTACCTATCAGAAATTAAGTGCATAATTCAGGAACAGGCAAAAGTGAGAATAAATCAAGAGAAAAAATAAATTAACACCAACTTGGATTTTTATTTAATTTTTACTTTCTTAATCAAAACTTTATTATTACCTTACTTTATTAAGAAAAACTATAGTGTGATATTATTAGATTTCAAATCAGCAATTTATATTAGAAGTTAGAGAAAAACAAATTAATCATAATCATTTTTCTAAAATATTCTTGATATGATTTGTGAGATTCTTTTACTGCCCTCAATAGTGTTGTGGTGATCTTCAATACTCCTCCATAATTTCGAATGGTATCTTTGATTAGTCTAAGCGACATAATAGTATACTCATGGTGACTCACATTAAGCATTGCTTTATTTATCGAAAAACCTCTCTCAGGATCAGAATTCCCATGTGGCAAAATTAAAACAGTTTTAACTAACGTAGTTAAATTCTTATATTTTAGATTATTGCTTTTTTATTTATATTTAGCCTATAACTCTAATTTTTTAGGAACACCAACAAAATTTTATCAGATTTTTAGGAATTTTAGGGCTTGCACATACTTTTAGGAATTTTATGAATTTTAGGGGGAATGCGACCCCTGTTAATTAAATAATAACATTAATAGACATATATTTAAATACCTTATGTAAATTAGTAAAAATATAATAAACACTAAAAATTATAATTTTATAATTAGGAATACCGGTATAATAGTTTAACTTTTAATGTAAAATTGTTATCCCCCAAATTATAAAACACAGGTAAATATTAAACTAAATCATAAACAAATATTTCTGATGCAATACATTTACTATACATTTTTTAAAAAAAAAGTTGTTTAAAATTTAACTTAGTGAAATGATCAGCAACAGCTATTGGAATAGTATTTTCCAATAAAAAGCTACTAAAAATTACTTCTGCACAATAATCACAGGAAGCACGATTGCGGCGACCAGAACAAGGGATTGGTTTAAAAGCAAAATAATGCAATTTTACGAAAATTCGGATCTTTAATAAAAATATCAGTTTTTCAAATTTGATTTAAAAAGTAGGAACAAATCCGAAAAATTCTGGACGGTTGGCAGCTATGTAATATCATCCAAGCATGAAATATCGCAAACTAGCTTTGAAGCTCTTTCTGATCAAATATTATTAATTTATGACTGCATCATGAGATGAAATGACATTAAAGCCTAGTAAATAACTCATGAATGTTCATAGACAGATGGGCCAATAATATCTATTTTTATCAAGGCGAAAATGTCTCGAGAAATATGTCAATTGGAAGAACTAGTCCTGATCTAAAATTAAAGAGTATAATTTTCTTATGATCAATTTATCAAGTGCAATTTTAGGAGCTAGGAAAAACTCTTAGGAATTAGGAGCTAGGAAAACTCTTGTCCATCTAATGTAAGATGGACAAATACCTAGTAAAGGCAAAATCTTCTATGATGATGCAGCAAGAATATTCAATGCTTTAAAAAATAGAAGACGTTAAAAATGTATTATAATGAAAGAAATTTTTTTTTCAAGTCTATTTGTATTTTTTCAGTTTTTAGAAATCTTACTTAACTTCTGAAATCTCACCCTGTTTTTGAGAAAGGGTGAGAAATTCTCACCCATTTTTTTTTCTATGATGAAAACACTGTCAAGTAATATTTAAAGGATTCATTTATAACTTTAGTGCAATTTTTCTTTCTTAGCAATAAGATTTAAATCTTAGAGGTTTCAATAAATTACAAGTATTTTTGAATACTCTAAGCAAGAAAAATCAAGCAATAAATAAGCTTGTATCAATTACTTTAGTTGTTCATTGAAATAACTGCACAAAATTTCAAAAAAATCTAAAGTAAATATTTATGAAGATATGGATGTTTTTATAGAAACTTTTTTTTTTTGCCTTCTGTTTTTATTTTGCCAGAACTTTACAAATATTCAATGGAATCAAACAGAGAAATTTAATATTAGAAAATTAAATAAAATTTTTAAAAAAAATTCATTAGAAACTGTACAAGATAAAAGTATAATGTAGTCCTTTCATATAGAGCACGTGCAGAAAAAAAGTTTTTCTCAATTATGTAGTGAATAATATTTTGCATAGCTTTAAGCAATTTTCTAAGTAGTTATTGTACTTTCTTAAAAGAAAGCTCAAAACAAACAGAGGTTTTCCACAAATTTTGTTTTATAAAACAAAAGTATTGTGATTCCGATTGAATATTTATAAAGTTACAGCAAAAAATGTGAGGTAAATTTTTTTTTTCTTTTATAGTCCATATCTTTTCTAGGTGCACAAAATTTTATACAACTATTAAAAATAACAACCAAAGCACAAGCTTATTACTTAATTTTCTGGCATAGGATGTTCAAAAATACTTGTTTTCTGTCTCTCAAACCTGTGAAAGCTTTAAATCTTATTGCAAAGTATTAAAAATTGCATGAACTAAACATCTCTAACGTATTTTGAGAAACCCAAATGTATCTCTTCCATTATCGTAAGGTAACGCATATGTATATCAGCAAGTAACAAAGTATGTAAGTAAAATGCCATGTAGTGGACAACTGATATGATGTAAGCTATCATCTAAATTGTTATTGTAAAACTTATTACTCAGTTAAGGTGAATCTTCTCATATAATAAAAACTTAAAAATCTGATATCTATTAGATTTTCACTATGAGTCAATAACCATTAACTAAAAATAAAATCATACTTACAAATTATTTAATTGTATTATATCATTGTATAGCATAACTTTAATAGAGCTATATTTATATAAATGAAAATACAATGACCAGAAAGCTCAAATAAGTAGAATTTTGGAATTTTTATAAAAAAAATAATTTTAATAATTTTCTTTATTTCTCACAATAATTGGAACATTAAAAAATATACAGCAGTGATACATGGTAAAAAGGATTTGTTTTACTAATCTCTTGTCATTTATTTTTATAAAATTAGATAAGGAAAAAAAAATTTTTTTTTCACTTTATATGTAGATCAAAATGAATAAAAAGTAAAAATAAATTTTTTGTGAAAAAATAAGTTTTTCGTGTAAAAATAAGTTTTTAAAAATCAAAAGAACAAAAATGAATATCAATGACGTATACATTAGAAATTAAGATAAAATAAATTATTAAGTCAGAAGACCAGAACACTGACAATTTATAAATACAAAAATGTTATTTTGACCAAAAGATAGGTTAATTTATAATTAAACTCTATATCAAATCATTGTGTTAACTGTATAATATAAATAATCTTGAGAAAAATTGTGAAAATTAAAATGTTAATTAAAATTTGAACCTTCAATAGATACAGGGATGATTGTGAGCTTAACTCAAAATCTTGAAAATTTCTTGAGTGAAATCATTAATGACTCATTTCAAAAAATTAATGTCAGTATAAATTCTAGTTCTAATATTTCTAAATAAAATATACAAGAAATTTTATACATAAATGAGAAGGATAATTTCTTGAAACTTCATGACCTCGGGTTTCCGGAAAACTTCCAGAATGTAATTAGTTAAAAACCCGGGAACACAGATTTTTTTTTTCCGCAGCACAATCATCTCTGTAGATATAAATCTTGAACTATCTAGTATAATATAATTATCTTGCACATATCTAGTTTTAGGTCAACCCAATGTAACTGACAAATCAAATGTGGTTTTGTACTTCAGTAAAAACATACCAGGGGTCTGTCCAGACATTTTGTGCAAGGTCCGTTTTTCGTGAAATTGTGAAAAAATTACTCACATTCTTTCAAACAGGGTCTGCTTTTATAAATTTGTGCAAATAGGGTCCGTTATTGCAAAAAAAAACTTTTTCAAGGAGTTTTTAAATTGTAAAGATATACAAGATTACGCTCAACACTGTAAAATTATAATTAAAAAAATTAAATTTTAAAAAATAAACAGCAATTGCAACTACTAAATTAGCGATGCAACATACAAATATTTGGTATTTAGCCTATACTGCTGAACGCAGAATATTAATTTTGGACGAATAATGGAAGAATCGTCTGCCAAAGACAAAACTTAATTCGTTTACATCCATCTTTCTTGTTTTATGCCCTGGAAAGGGTTTATTCGATTAACAAAGTAATAATGAAGATAAACAAATTTGTGAAGGGTCCGATTAAAAGAAAAATCATTTTGTGAAGGGTCCGTTTTTATGAAAAGATATTTTGTGAAAGGTCCGTTAACGGACCCAAATTTCTTCTAAACAGACCCCTGCATACCATAAAATATATTCCACTATCTTCTATTTACAGTCTCAAAACTTGCCATTTGGGAAAAACACCTGTTCCATGTCTCCAACCTTCCATCTCAGTTATATAGAAATGTATTACATATTTTCCTCCTCTTTGTATTAGAATACTTTTCATATTTACTGGTCAAAAATATTTATTAAACGTTTAATTTCAGATAAATGTTTAATGTAGTTTTCAGTTAAGAGTTTCCTACTGAAAAGTTTTTTATCAATTTGAAAATCACGACAAATTATTGATTAACAAACTTGCAAAGTGTTGCCATAGTAAGAGAGTTCTCTACACCACCTGCAGCAACTGGCAAGCTAGTCATGAAATTATTCCTAAATTATTTTTGCAAGATAAGTTTATGTTGTATTTTTTGCTTTTATATTTTGTGTCTTTAACTTGATATGTGTTATTTCCGCTTCAATTTCTTGGCACTGCGTATTTATTTACTTGTTTTATATCTCACAGGATTTGTAAACTAATTTGCATCATGATTATACATGTTTGTAACAGGTTCAAAATGCATTTTTCGTGGTCAAAAACTGGTTTTAACAAAAGTTTATTTGCAATGATTTCAATGCAGTTCATTAAGTTGATAGGCAAATTGCAGATTTCCTAAGAGGGCTAAAAAATGAACATTTCTTGGTTCAGTATACATGTTTCATACCTTTAAAAATGGCAAACAAACTATCATCTGCTCTACTTACGTACAATAAAGTCAAATTTTATTGCAAAATAAATAAAGCAGCTTCACAAATTCAACTTTAGGTAAAACAGTAGTTTCACAAATTCAACTTTAGGAAAAACGGTAGTTTCACAAAATGCTTTTTCTTAAAATTTTATTTTGGTATCACTTAAGAAACAATAAATCTATATTTTACCATGTTTTTGTATTGATTTTTTAATATAATTTTTAATTTTTCACAAATTATGTCTAAATTTTCACAAAATAGGTACCTTTCAGAAAAACCTAGACAGACCCCTGTAAAGTGTACCGAGCAACTCAACAGCTTGATTTCAATATTTAGGAAATGTTAAATTAAAATATTAACCTCTCATTTCAGGATAAAATACATCTCTTGCTTAACCCAAATATTTAATGAATAAAAACATTTCATAATACAAATACTATTTGATTTGAAGTACTATTCTTTCTTCCTAGCATATTACTACATACTTAATCTGAATTGAGAGGAGAGAGACGAATACTCACCACATCTGGTATAAAACCAATCCTCGTCATAGGGTGCAAGCTCTTTATGCATTCCAGTTTTAACAACATCAACCCACTCTGGCACTTTTAGCTTACCTGACCTAAAAACAACATTCTTACATTAAAAACACATTTTTAAAAGGTTTAAATGCAGAAAAAAAAATTTTTTCTCTCAACAGCTGCGATTCAGTACGACAGTCGAGTGACCCGAAATACAAAGTTAAAAACTGATACATTTTGCATAAATTGGAGCACTGCCTACCCATACATGCTTTGCTTAAAATATTCCATATAGAAAATTTACCTAAATTGTCAGTTTTCTGGACAAATTTCATTGCTGAAAAGATAATAATACGATCTGATAACACTTATATCTATATAACCAATACTTGATGACCCATTTTCTTGCTAATAAGTTACGCGGCAATTCAATTATTCACAGCCCCCATCTATTATTTTTTGGTAGAAACCCCACCTTTGGTAGAAAAACTTTCCACTTATCTTTAAGCATATATGAGTACTGATATTAAAAGTTTGAAGGAAAAAAAAATGAGCCAGTGGAGGAACACTTAAGCATAGCTTGTCTTTAACAAAATTATAATTATTTAAAAATGGGTCATTTTAATTAAATGACAATGTCAACATTTGTCATTAAATGCAAATTATGTAAAATAAAAATAATGGAAATTTGTATGTTGTTTTAAGCTTTTGGTGGTTCAAATAATAAGTAGTAAACTAATCATACATAGTAAGATGACCAAATGAATACAGTTACTGCATGATTTATTTTGTGACTTACTAATCTCTTGTCTCTACCACTACAAAAATACAATCCCAAATCACTAGTATACAGGGTTGGGTTTTTGACGTCAAAAAGTGGTTTTTGACATGACAAGGGTATAATACTGGTTTAAACCGTCAAAAATGTCAAAAACTGAAGTTTGCCAAGAAAATATATTAACTTCAAAACTACCAACAGTTGCCATGCATTATATTGAAATTTAATTTTACTATAGGTAATCAGCAGGTTTTAAAATATTATTTAATTAAAATTTAGGTAAAATAACAGATTTAAAATCTATTAAGAAATTTATATTCAAATGCATGTGCAGAAAAATTTTGCACAAAAATTGTTTTAATATTTATATTTAAAAAAATTTTTTTTTTCTTTTTGATACTTAAGAAAATTAAAAGTTTATTACTATGCATTTTTGACATATAAGGAACATATAACTAATATTTATAAGGAACTTACAAGTTATGTTGTATAAATACAAACTTGATACAAGTGTATGAAAAAAAATTTTAATGTTATACCGAATATCTTTATTATCCAGTATGTTAATTTGAATTTAAAAGTAGTTATATTTGTGAATAATGATAAATATAATTCATATTGTTTATTATATTTATTTATAATTATTACACTTATCATTTTAAAACAATTTTTACCTCTTAATTTTTTTCCCCCACTTGTATTAAGAATACAAATAATGCATATCTTGAAAGCAAGAAGTAATTATTCAACAGCTGAATATTTAGATATTCAACAAAACTATATAGTATTCAGCAAAATGAAATTCACAAGTATTTGGATAAACTAAATTTTCAGCATAGTAAATGAATAGGCTGAATATACTGTAAATCGACACTAACTACTCTGTGTATTTAACAGAAAGCACTTAAATTTGTATTGTCTTATGTTAAAAAGATTATTAAGAAGATTTAAAAGAATATTAAAAAGATTTTTCTTTAAAAGATGTCTAATGTACAAAACTGCTAATGTTTATCTTTAAAAATGTCTAATTTTTAGTATAATCTATACTATACACTAAATTTGGTTATAAATAAATTTCTTAATAATATCACTGCAGATTTTCAATAACACATGAAAATGAATACATAATATTACAAAAGATGTGAGCTTTCAAAAGTACAAGATTTTGGTTACTATTCAAAATATAAGTGTTTCTTCAAAATTTTAAATTTATTTTTTCTAGAACATATTTAGAAACACTATCCTTTAAAAAAATATATAAATTTTATGTATTAATTAAATTTCACATATGAATATAGGTTTTTCACATTTTTGACAGTGAGGTTTTTGACGTGACAGTTTAAACCATGGTTTAAACTGTCAAAAACTGTCACATGTCAAAAACCTGCCAACTCTGCTAGTATATATAAGACATGTTAACTAGATTATATGGAAGGATACCTTTTCATAGATGAAGGTCAACATTATCGATACCTACTCTCCCCACACTCTTTATGAATTCATAAAGCCACACAAATACCTATAAATACTTCTTTTTTTTAATTCTAACAGATTCCTTTAATCATAAAATGGAAAATAAAATGGGTTTGAGCGTGGGAAAAAATGTTATTCACTCTTATAATTTGAGAGTTGATTTTATTTGAATTTGGCAAGGAAAAAAAATTGATAGTTTTAATGGCATTCAATCCACTTTGTTATTCATAAAAAATGTTCCACATTTTTATTAATTGTTTATTAATTTTAGTTAAATTGTTTATTAATTGTTAGTTTTATAAATTTTTTAATGTTAAATTCTGCAACCTAACACGAATATCAACAAATTAAGGATATAAAAAATTATGAGCTTTTAAATGATTGAATATCAACAGCCCTTAATCCTATTAGTGTTCCTTCAAAGTATATTTAGAAGGGTGGTTCTGCCTAAATGCACCTTCCTTGCCCATTTTATAAAAATAGGCCACCACCCCTTAAAAACCATGCCTTTTTATTTTAGGAATGAATCTTAACCACCTGTTTTTAATGAGAAATCCATTTCTAACTTATTGTTGTTCATAATTATTTAACTTTAATTTTACTTTCTCATTTTAGTAAGATTTTTCTTACGTTGTTTAATTATGTAACTAAAATTCACAAGACATTCGAGAGAATATTCATATCTTTTATTAATATTATATTAATGAACTTTTTAGTGTCTTAAGTTTTAAAACGAATTTTTTTAATAAATAGCTTTTTATTCAAAATGTACCTCTAAATGTTTATTTTCTCAACAGGGTTCGGGACGCCCTAAACTGGTTTTGGACAAGACACATGGGTTTTACTGTCTTAAACTGTCCTACACTGACTAAAACTGTCCAAAACCTTGAACATTGGAAAAAGTTAAAAATTCTATATTAAATAACCAGGGTTTTATTTTTGCCGTCAAAAACTGGTTTATGACATGACAGGAGTAAAAACCGTCAAACCCACAATTTAACACCATTTTTGTCCATCCAGCCTTTTTCGTGGACATGAAAAAAAACACCTTTTGGAAAATTGCATTTGGGAAGAGTATATCTTAATATTTAAAAAAAGTATTAGAAATTACGGGTGAGCATTATATGCCGGGGCGCATTATGCGCCAGAATATACGGTAATTGCCTTTATCAATGAATAATGATTGCTATTGATTTTGCAACTATATACATGTATTCTTATAGAAGGATATACATTCATACAAAAATATTATAATATACTTATTGAAAATAGTGATACATCATTATAGCTTGATTTGCAAAGGATGCAAAATTTTGCACTTCTTAATTGTTAGAAATAAACAAACAAACAAAAAAGCTTGGAACTATTAATAAATTCAAGAACTAAAAAGAAGATTTCAAAATTTGGCATTCCTTAAATATTAGAAATAAGCTAAACAAAACTTTCAAAACTTGTAACTACTAACAAACTCTAAGTCATGAATTACTGCTATTTGTCAAGTTATAAACTTTAATTCAGTTGAAAAAGCACATGAAACTAAACTTAATTACAAACAGAATTACATGTTCAGTAGTCTGGGTCACTGTACCGAAGCATAGGATAGCAAGTGACTAATTTTGCGCATTTTTCATTACCCAGTCGATTTCTGAGTTCAATATGAATGAGTCTGAAATTCAAAAGGCTATTGCAATGTTGTAAAGAAACTCTAAAAGGATTTCCCAGGCTTTTTCGTGTCTCATTTCTGTGTAAAATATTGAAAGCAAAATTGATAAGAAAAGTTTCTTTTTATGTGCACATGTGTTTCTCAAAGCAAGATTTTATGAATGAAAGTAATCAATCTTGACATTCTTCAGTAATGTAATATGCTGAACAAAATTATGCTTGGAAATGTTGAAAATTTTGTTTAGTATCCTAATATTTTACTTCAAGTAGTATGTTTTGATATAATCATGTAGGGAAAATGCAAGAATCTATCCTTAAATATCTTTTAACAACTTTTTTTTTATTTTATTGCCCAAAAATGAATTAACTTTAAATTATACGCAGTTTAACTAAAATAAAAATAGTTTAACCAAAACCATGGGTTTTTGACATGACAGTAAAACCGTCATGTGCAAAAACTTGCCAACCCTGTGTGTAACCATTGTACATATGTTAATGAACATTTGATACTTTTCATACAATTAGATTTAATTAATTAAAGGAAAATAATAATAAGAAAAGATTTATAACTTTCAAAGCTCCACGATTCATTAAACAAAAGTAAACACATTGTATTTTATATAGTCTTAATACTGATAAATTATGTTTTTCCATAAGTATAAATAATGCAATATTAAAAATAATAATAAACTTTTTTAATAATACAAAAACTTGCTTTCAATTTGTTTGTTATAGTTACTCTTATATTTTACAGCAACACAACCGCCAAATAGATTTTAAACTTGCAAATTTAAAAAAAAACAGGTAAATGATTGCTTGATGGTGGATCAAGTTATATCTTTTGAGTTGTTCCTTTTCTCTGATTTTTTTTGGTTTCTCAGGGGCCACTGCCCAGAAGTTTCCAAGACTTGGAGATTATTCTGCCAAAAATCATGATACGGAAATCTCCCCATAAGAATAACTAAATTTTAATATCTATTTTGCACAATGAAAAGAATAAAACTATTACATGCAATTGTAAAAACAAAACAAACCTTATAATCTTGACAAAGAAACAAGGTGTTTGCAGATACTAACAAATTCAGAAAAATTTTCCAGCGAATATGTGACCAGGTTGTTAACTGTTCGAAAATTATAAATTTTAGAGAAAGATGTAGGATTTTTGTTCTATTCCTATATTATGAAACAATAGCTAACAGGCCTTCTAACTGAAGGATTCAATAGTTATATACAAAACACATTATTAATTCAATACATTGCATATTTCAAAGAGAAGAGAAAGCGGAATATTTGAAAATATGGAAGCAAAGCAAAAAAGAAGTTTCATTTTAATATGAATACACACTTTAATGCGCAAGACTGTCTTTACCAACATCAATGAAAATATTTCAAAAAAAATACTAACTTTTTAAAATGAGCAGAAAGGGCTTTCACAAAGTCATGCTGATTTACGTCTTTCACGCTAGTAGAAGGCATCTGCAACAAAATATGTTTCAATACTAAGAAATAAGGAAAAGGCTTAAAGTAGTAAGTATACACGTGTACGTACAATTGAATTTTAAGTTATATGATAAGAACCACAAGGATTGATTTAATATATTACCCTGTATAACACTAAGCTTCAACAAAGTAAAATTTTTACCGAATGCGTATATCACCAACAAATTAATTAAATAAACTTGTAGAATCAATTCCGACACTCGTGTAATTACATGAAGTACAGCCAGTAATCAGTAAGAAGAATAAAATAACGCAATGAAAGTTAAAGTTACTATCGGCGTTTTGCGATCGAAATGAAAAACTTCTTAACTGGGAAACTATATGGAATTAAAAACTATAAACATAGTTCTAAAAGAAAGCTTCGTGGAAATTTTAAAAAATAATTTTTACAATTAAACACAAAAAATACTAAGGAAGGGGAAAAAATCGATACCACTGAGAAGAGAAGGGGGGCAAGAAAAAGACATGGAACTGGTCTTCTCCCCAGATGGCGTATTCAGACTGCACTGTTTCCTAAATGTTCTATTTCTTCAATACGCAATCGCAAAGCTCGAATATGCCTTTAGTGGAGCCCTTCCCTCTCCTCCTCTTCTCAGTTAAATAGGAATGTACTACGATAGTTTCCCCTTTTTTGTTCTACGATATTTAGTGTTCAAATAATAGTGTTCATTTGAGTGCCGATTAAAAGATAGGGGATTCGAGTTATGATAGTAGGTTGGAGTTCTGACCAAATGATTGAGTTCTGATCAAAAATAGTGGGTTCGAGAACCGATAAAAAGATACTGGGTTTGACAACAGACCCAATAATAGTGGTTCGAGTATACCCATAAAAACATCTTACGTTCGAACATCAATCAACAAAGTATGTGGTTTTCAAAACTGATCAAATTATAATATAAATTATAACCGTGTCTTAACGATCAGTCCACTGCGGGACTTTTGTGTCTTGAGGAAAAGAGAGTCTGATCGAAAAGTGTTCAATCACAGAGTGAGTTCGAGTATTGAGCTTCCCGCAGTGAACTGATCGTTAAGACACGGTTCCCAGCAGATCACCGAAGTCAAGCATCACTGGCTGCGGTCAGTGTGCTGGTGGGTGACCACTTGGATCAGTCTGCGTAGGGACCGAGGGTGTGCGGTATTGGTCCTCGTTAAACTGTGCTACCGTAAAGTGCTCGACTTCACTCGCAGGTCGTCGGGCGGGAAGCGGGGGTGCCATCCCCTCCGCAGAGGATCAAAATTGTGATGGCATGTCTTCGGATCATCCTCCGGGATGTTTCCCAGACCGTCACCAATAGCCCATTGTGCAGCTCTAGTGTGACGTAAATTAACAACAACAACATCGAGTATTGAACAATAGAGAAGGGATTCGAAAATTTAAAATAATAGTTGACTCAAGTATTGGTCAAAAGAGAGTTCAATTGAGTAATGATCAATTATATGAGTAGATTCGAGAACTTATCGAATGATAGTAGGTTTATATACCGATGGACCAAAAGATAGTGGGCTAGATTTTTAAACGAAACAGAAATTGATAGAATGATAGTGCGAACGAATATCGATACAAAATAATTAATATGAGTACCGATAAAAAGAGATGGCGTTCGAGTAGTGATAAAAAGGTAGTAGGTTCAAGTGAATAAAAAAGGGGGGTTCAAAAATAATACAAATGATAGTATGCTCATGAACCGGTTAAAATATAAGATAGTGGGTTCAAATTTTAAACAAAAGTGTGGATTTTAAAAATTGGTCAAATAATAGTGGATTAAAGATCCGATTAAAGGATATATCCTATCGTTGATAAGTACTGGAACCCACTATATTGGGTTCCAGTACTTATCAAATGATAGAAGGTTTGAGTAAAGATGGAAATAAAGTGGGTTCGTGTACTGATAAAAGGACAGTGAATTTGAGATTATACCAAATGATAGTTGGTAAACGAGGATAGTTGGTATATTGGCATACTCGTATGCCAATAAAATCATTGTAGGCTTAAGAATTTCTCAAAAAGATTTCTGGGTTCTAAAACTGATCAAATGACATTGGGTTCAAGTACCGATAAAAAAAGGCCGCAAGTTAGAATACTGATCAAATGATAGCCGCTTTTTTAGTCTCGATAATATAGTGAGTTCAAGTTCTGAACAAAAGAGAGTGAGTTAGATCAAAAGTTATTGAGGATGGTGATTATTTTAATTGCGCACATTTAAATGATATTTTGAAGTTATTTGGCCTTCATTCTGTTTAAATAAACCTTTAAAAAATGAAAAATTGTTGTTTCAAAGAAATTTTATGAATTTATAAACTCTTTAACTCTCCCATAAATAAACTCACTCGTTATTAATTTGCTTATTCTCTAATCTTAAAACAAGGTTAATCTTAAACAGGAAACTTAAAGCAATTCCGTTCCCCCCTTGTTTGTTGAATGGTTTAGAGGAGAAGAAATGCGGAACTGGAAAATGGGAAACTAATTAAAGTGTCAAAAAATGACTTTTCTGTTACACACTTTTCTTTCCAGCCTTAGTAAAACTTATATGTAAAGAACTCAACAACAAAGAAATTTACTCTAAAAATATATCATTAAAAATAACTATAAATATATTCTTAAAAAAGAAATAATTAATAAAACATAAATCTGAGTCTCGTTCCCACCTTGGTAAAGATAATCATAGATGTAGGCAGCATGTAAGTTTTGTCTTGTTTTTCAAATAGATTTTAAAAAATTTTGATACGAAGGCTATGTGGAACTCAAAACTACATTAAACATAGAGGGTTCAAAAAGAAGCATAGTGGAAATTTTAGAGAATATTTTTGAGAATTAAATGTGAAAATTTTTTTATAGAAGGGAGAAATATTGTAATACATTCTAATACAAGTGAGCAGAGGAAGAAGATGCAAAATGTTCCATCCATATTTGGAAGCATGAGAGAGTAAGTATCGTGACCCCATAAAAATTTTCCTGAAAACGTGAAACGGCTTATTCTGGATGGTCAGAATATTACTTTTAGATCACCACAGTTTAAAAATTGAATAAATGGAAAGGAATTTCCATTTGCATTTTCATATTCGATTTGTAACAAGTGCGTTGTCAACGCATCCGAGTAACGCACTTGTAATTTTCTGCCCATGGAAAATGTTTACTGTTAAAGGAATTTGATTTCGGGATGGTTGACTGAATGCAAACAATTGGCGATCGCAACGCTCGAATACACCATCTGGGGAGAGACCGGTTTCATGCATTTGGCTCTTCTCCTCTTTTCAGTTGTATAGGAATGTACTACGATATTTTCCCTTTTTATTTAATAAAAGTATTTTTTAAAATTTCCGTGATGCTTTTCTTTAGAACTATGTTTGATGTAGTATTCAGTTCCATATAGTTTTACAACTTAAAAGATTTTAATCTATATGAAAATCAAGAGAGAAACTAACGTACTTCCTTCCTCTATGACTCTCCACGCGCTACTGGGGAACAGCGTTGCCAGAACTTAAGATTAAAAAGTAGCGAATGGGAGCTCCAAAAGTAGCGGATTCGAACATTTTGTAGCCCAAAAATAAATCATATATATGTAGTATCTAAAATACTAGCTTAATAAAATTAAAAGGATCTTTTGATACTAAACTCAAAAAGAATTATATCTATCTGCAGATAAGCTTATCTGGTTTCTGAGAACATTAAATTTCTCTTTCACGTACATATACGCGAAGGGCTAAGTTAAGTACGTGAAAGAGAAATTTAATGTTCTCAGAAACCAGATAAGCTTATCTGCAGATAGATATAATTCTTTTTGAGTTTAGTCTCAAAAGATCCTTTTAATTTTATTAAGCTAGTATTTTAGATACTACATATATATATATTAACAAAATTAATATCACAGCATAAATAAAGTGTAAAGTTTGCCATGTTTTGAGTGTTCTAATTTACTAATTTTTTTGGCTATATTTCTGTAAAACAGCGCCGTTTGCCAGAAAACATTATAATAATAATAACATTGGATAGCTCGTTTTTTCAAGCTTTTTTATTTGTAAAAATCAGTCGGAACTGTCTTCGATATTTTAATGTTGGTGCGGTCTTAGAGCTGCATAAGAATAATGGGACATTTTATGAGAAATTATTTTTCTACTAAGAGGTTTCGACCTCAGCTCGCTTCGTTCCCCAACCTCAAGAACCTTAATTACTCGCACATAAAAATGTTCTCACTAGCTAATTTTTTTTTTAATGAAATTAACTCGCGTTTCGAGGAAATTAAAAATAAGACCTAACAAGGACCCAATCTCCAACAAGAAATTCAGAAAAGTTCAACTTCATGGGTTCATCTGTGTGCCTTTGAAAATAAAAGGAATTCAGAAATAATTTTACAATATTCAGAAATAATTTTACACTATATTGATATTTTGTATAAAAAAAAGTTTATTAAAGGAAACGCAAAATAAACTTTTTATTTGATTTACCCTCCCCCCCCCTCTAATTTCGGGCCTGGGCCAAATGCTCTTGGCTTAGTCAGGCTCTGACGACCTCGGTTTCATTCACTTGTAGACCAATTCCATCGGCACAACACTGTTTATAATGCTTCCATAAACGAAAAAAAATTGGCCGCCGCTGATCTAAACTATATTAATAAATAAGATTTTTCACTACTGGTTTTTTGTATTTCATAGTTTTTCAATTACAATTTGTAACAGTTTTTTTTTTCAAATTTTATTTTGTAGTAATGTATTTTTGATATTTTTAAACATTAGATTGCCCAAGGAAGTCATTTTGACTGCTTTTTGACTGAATTAGAAAAACAACGATGACACAATTTCTAGAATTTTGGGACTTTTTGTACAACATAAATTTTTTTATCGTTAATATTTATTAATAACTAGTTAAATAAATGAAAATAATATCAAAAATTAGTTTTAAACAAATTTCTTTATACATTAGCTATTTTTTAACAATGCAGTCATTTTGACTGCTTTTAGGCAATATAGGTATTTCCGTCTTTCTAGCGTTAAAACAAAAAAAATATTTAGAGGAACTTATATAAATACGTATATATTTTTTAATAAATATATTAATGATTTTGAAGAACAATTATTAATGCAACGTGATATACCTGAATGCATTAAAAAACCTCACTGAAACAATGGTATAATTTATTCATATCTAGTTTGGAGTTAATTATTTTTAATAAAAATCAATAACTAAAGAAACATAATAATTTAAGAAAGAAAATGTAAATTTTGCTTTTTCCTATTTTAAAAAGAAAAACATTGATTTTTTTAAATATATTTGAATGAATATTTCTATAATCTAATCTGTAAATAAATTGTTACACAATAAATCTGATTAATATTCATAGTTATTATGTTGTTTCACCCAGCATATTTCCACAAACATCAATTTTGGAATTTCACTTATTTTAAATACTCTAAAAAAATAAAAATACAGTAGAGCGCCGATTATCCGAACCCTTATTATCCGAACCATGTCCGAATTCGTTTTTTTTTTTTTATAGTTTACAATACTTTTTTACTTATCGACAATTTTTCTAAATTTAGAAGAATAAAGAATATCCACTGTATCTGAAGACCATATTTAATTTACAACCCTTTTTAGCAGTTTTCTTATAGTAGCCAATACATACATGTATTGTTATACAGTTAAACCTACAAACCCCTTTAGCCCTCTTCAACTGAAAATTATCTTCCAAGAATGCGAGCTTCAATTTGACAGTCTACAATGGTTGAAATTAGGAAGGAGTTTATGAATAGATATGTGCTGAAGTTCTACTATTGGGGGATGGGTACTTGTCACTTATGGTTAGTGATTACAGTGCTTGGAATCTGAAATCTTGGAAAAAAAGTCTTAACAAAAAAATAAACGAAACTGAAGTTTTAGAACTAGTAGATCTTCCCGATGAAAAGATGCCAGGTTATACAGCAGAAGAAATAGAACACTGGTGCCGATACACTGAAAATGACCCAGGATTTCAAATTTTTAATGATGATTTGAAATTTCGAATGAAAATCGGAACTCAACAAACAAAGAGGAAGAAGTAGGTGATCAAATTCAAGATAGTGCACCTTCTCATTTAGAAGCATGCAATTCATTAGATATTACAATGAATACGTTAAAACGTCAAAATGATGTTGATCCAGTTCAGTTGATTTATTTAAAAAGAATATAGGGAATGGCTGCTCAAAAAAAGAGCATCTTCTTTGAAACAAAAGTCTTTGCTGGATTTCTTTTGCAATGGAACATTAAGAAAAATGTGGTAAAATCAGTAATTTATAAAAAAAAAATTATAAAAAGCTGAAATATAATGAATAGAATTCAAAATGAAAAAAAAGTTTAAAAAATAAATAAAAAAATAATTAAAAATTGAAAAAAATTTTTTATACATGCCAGAGCTATTTTAGATAGTACTACCAGTCCTAAGCCTAGAAAAAGTGATAAGGGAAGTTAGTGCATAAATAATAATCATTTAAACTAGATTTTAAACAACTTTCCAATTATCCGAACTTTTCATTATCCGAACCACGTTCGGTCCCGAGCAGTTTGGATAATCGGCGCTCTACTGTAGTAATTTATAAATTCTATATTTCCTTTTTAAACTATAAAGGTTATATAATTCTATAAAGGAACAGGGGAAAATGCAAATGTATCTGAAGAGAGATTAAATGTATAAAACTCCAGTTGAACAAAAAAGTTTTCTGCTTACAAAAGATTAGGTGAGATAAAGTCTCTTGAACACAGAATAGAAAATTTATTGATATTTTCTTTCAATTATTACATAACTCCAGGGATATAATGAATTTTTTCCTTATTTTGACGCTCCCTATTTTAAAATCCTTCCCTGATGCTACACATATATAACAAAAGATTTTATTTAATGCAAATTGTCTCGTTTCATGGTTTGTATTCTAAAGATCTCCTGATGCAAAAGCTTAAATTTTTCATTTTACTTTCGTTTTATTCTTGAAAAAAGTTTTAAAAAGAAAAAGGAGTTCATAATGGAGCTATACATGTATGTACAGTGGAGCATCGTTTATACGACGATCACTTATACGACGTTTACATTTATACGACGTTTTAGTGTGGTCCCAAATCATTCCTATTCATTTTAATGTAAAAATATATCGTTTATACGACGCACGGAATCGGTTATACGTCGGTTTTTAGATTTTGTTCACGTTTACTTAATTTTTTTATTTTTTCTTGTGTATTTTAAAAAAGGGCGGAATTTGCCAACATGAATGATACAGAAAAGGGTGCCAACAAGAATGCTTGGATGACGACCGTAATTTTTACTAGATGACTGAAAAAACTTGACAATGTTACGAAGAGGGAAAAAATAAAAATTTTGCTAGTCATCGACCTATGTCCAGCGCACCCATCGATACTAATTATTTTGGAAAATGTAAAAGCTCTCTTTTTTCCTGCAAATTGCACAGGTACGCTTCAGCCATTAGATTTGGCCGTGATTAGAATCTAAAATTTCATCATAGAAAGCAGTAAGTTCAACTCGCTATTCAAAGCATTGCATTGTAGAGACTAATAGCAAGAAAATATCATTTAAAGTAACATACATTCAAATTGCTCACTGCAATTTTTCTTCTTTGGTTATTTGTTTGCTTTGCTTTGTCTAATTTAGAAATTTATGCAAATCAACACGCTTAACATTAAAATTAACTGAAAACAGAGTTAGTTTCAGTTTTAGAAGTAAAAATCGATTATACGACGTTATCGTTTATACGACGTTTTCCGGTGGTCCCTTCGGCGTCGTATAAACGATGCTCCACTGTACTTCAATTCCAACAATTGAGTCGAATTAAAAGAAAGGAAAAGTGGTAAAGATATCATAAATTAAAAAATTTCCCTTCAACTTGTTTCATTCAACAACAAAAAATTTTAAAATTAAAAAAAAACGAGTTACGATAAATAAGTTAATTTCGTACACCATTTAGAAACAAAAAAAATTTTTCTTAATAAATAAGAGACAAAAATAAGATATTTAATAAATATGAATCACATAAACACATTCAAGCATCTTCAAATTGCCCATCTTCAGAGGGTTCCCAGACTTCTCGTACTGTAATACGATTGACGTGCATATCAGATGGAATTAAAACATTCAACTCTTTATCATCAATTTTTCCTTCTTCTCTCAAATGGTGGCGGTAATTTTTTTTAAAATCTGCAATAAACAACAAAATTAGCACATTATAAAACTTGATTTTTTATAGAAACAAAAATTTATTTTGACCAGAAGAAATATAAAGTATTTACCAATATTTGAGTGTGTATCATTACGTATGTTTACCCATATGTGCGATAAGTTCAAGTAACATGCTATACTCAAATCAATTCATCAAGTTTTAACTTAAGAGTAATTAGAAGTCCAGTAATCTTGCATGATAGGTGAAGAAATTTGAATTGAGAAAAACAGATTTAAAGATAAAACTTTGAATAAATAACTTTTAAGAAAATACATGAATTTTTAGACAGTTCCAGTTTAGAAAATAAGTATTTCTTATTTTCAGTGCGCGGGTTTCAGTAATTTTGATGTAACTTAGAAAGCTTTTTTATAATTAGTGTCAAATTTCTTAGAATAAAGTTGGTCATAGCATATACTTTTTCCAATAAAAAAAAATATCAAAAAATTATTTTTAAGGAAAAACACTCCCTTAAAATCAACATTTAGCATCCAGGATTCATTTTTTTTTCAAAGAGAATCCTTGCTCTATGTCTGCATTGCCACAACATCTCCAATTATCCCATATCATACAGAAGTTTAAAGTTGAAACCTTCATTGTAATTATTGGTAAACTCTACTGAGCATTTCAAACTGGTTCTTTAAAATATACAATGTTTTTAGAGTTAAAAACTATAAAAAACATACCAGAAAGTTCTTTTAAAAAACTGAGTTGCATTTTATCAGGAATATCTTCATTCAAATTTAAAATACAAAATTATACATTTTAATAATTTCGTTAAGCATATTCCTGCAGAAATTTATCTGGAAATTGGCAAATACATGTTTAAGAATAACTCAATTTTTACTATCTAATGCATATATTTTGAAGATATATCTTGTATACCATGTATACATTTTTAAGCCCATAACAAACTGTAAATCTGAAAGGACTTTTTTTAAACTTAAATAAGCAAAAAACAAACAAAAAAAGTGATCAATTATGAGAAAGGTGTAATAATTTTACATTATTACCTATAAAGTGAGAAGTTTTGATGATGTGATTAAACATCACTTTAAATGAAATGAAAAATATTTTGATTGAAAAATATTTTTCTGTAAAAATTTTTAGTAACTATTGCACTTGTTTTCATAATATGACACTTATATCAAACTTCAGCTTTATTATTTTAAAATTTTTCATAATATTTAAATTTAATTTTACATCTGCGTAGTGCACATATAAATTGTCAAGTCTTTAAGCGGTTATAAAGTCAATAAAATGCTAATCATATTTATTAATGTCTTGAAATCATTATTAACTCAACACTTCTTCAATTTTTAAGAAAAATATTAAAATTCTTATGGTATAGAGATTCCTAGATTTCCTTATTTTTAGCAAAGATTTTCAATGCTTTGTTCCCAGATAATAAACAAAAATGTGTTTCAGATATTAATTTGAAACAGATAGGAACATTAATTATTTTTAAAAGTAAAGCAGTATTTTAATTGTCAAAATGAATTTTAGATAATATCATGATCATAACTATTAGATATTAGAATGAAAATATTACTGCAGAACTCAATTTTAAAATCACATTAAATAAAATACATCAGCCAGATAAAAGTTATCTGCAATAAAAATATTAACTTATTATTTTTGTTTTTCATTTTACTAAAATTGAAAATACTGAAAGGGTTCATACAAGTACATTACCTAAGCATCTAAAGAGGGATTTGTGAATTGTTTATTTTTGCTGGCAAGGGTGGGGGAAGTATATGAAATGATTACGCAAACTGATTACTCCCTTACTTAAAATTTTTTTTTGTAGCAAAAAAAGTATTAAAAAAAACTTTAAAGTATCACATTTGAAATTAATTTTTTGTAAGGAGTTTCAGGGGTCAATTAATTTAGTCCACAGAATGAAAACAAATATTCCTGAAAAATATTTTACTCAAAATTTTACAAAATGGATTCTAATGTAAATTTTTTTGTGCGTGTGTGAGAGGTTGGATCTTTTATTTGAATTCAATCCTAATACTGGGTAACTATAGATCAGCTTTGAGGAGAACTCCTACAGACTAAAAGTCTAGGGCTGTCTGCTGCTATGGTTACAAGCTGGAGCACATTTCTAATGGGGGTGCAATGAAGGTGTTGATTGGTTTACTCATGCAGACCTATGCAAAGATCAAGACAAAACTATCACCCCCATACCCCCATTTGAATTTTCGACATTACCACGGTACAGATGTCTGGAGGAGTTCTCCTGAAAGCCGCACTATACAGCAAGTCAATGTTTCGCAAAGTGTGGTATATGTACCCACAGGAGTTCGGGAACAGTTCAGCGGGGGTACGCATTCTTATGCGAAATATCTTGCAACAAACAAAAATTTCAGAACATTTTATTTAAAACAAAGCTAGCCATGAAAGTTTACAATTACGTATTTTTCAATTGGCTATTTTTTGCAGAGTTTATAGTTAATAATTAGTGGTATCAACAGCCAGTTGTGACTTATAACTTTTGTGCAATTTTTTATAGCAAAAAATACATTCATTTATTTTATTAGTGGTACACAGGGTTGCGAAAAATTTAGAAAGGGTACACAAAAGTCATAACAACACTGTTTGGGAAACACTGCAGTAAGTCAAAGTAGAAGCAAAAAACAAAAGGGGTGCATCTTGAGAGACTTTATTTACAAGGGGGGTAGGGTTGTGATTTACTTATTTTTGCAGAAAGCGGGTAAAATTTCCAAAAAATATGCTTACATAATATTTAAACCAAAGCAAATGCACTAACAAGGCCCTGAATTTTTTTTCCAAAATAAATTAACTTACTGCTGCTTGGCATATAGTTGGCTGAATCATCACTTTCCCAGTCACTTAGTTCTAAGAATTTTCCACTGTTATCAGAACAGCTTGATCCCGTAACAGCTGAAAAGAAATACATGTAAAAAATAATCAGGTAGAAAAATTGGAGTTCTTCAGGCACTATTTTCACAAAAAATATGAACAATTTTTAGAATGTTAACAGCTGTGCCATGTAGGTGAGCTGAACAATAAAAGGATGTAGAAAAACTAAAACACATTTCTTGCAAAAAAAAAAATAATAATAATGATACTATTTAAATAAAATAAGGTTGCCATTAGGTTTCAATGATTCCAATATCATCTGCATACCATTAAAAATAATTAAGATGAGAGATATCCTCCCTACTTTTAACACGTCATGTTTGTGTAAGGATTTCTTTTTGCCCTAAAAAAATGTGTCGGGGGGGTCGCTTAAAGAGTGTCCATTTATAGAAATTCAGAATAGTAAAATTTGAGTCCCTCGAAAGTTTACCAAAGTGAAGCCTTAATATTTACCCCAGATTCTGCTGCTAAATGCTAACTCTGCAAAAGTTAAGGCACTTTGATTTGAAACACGATACTTCACAAGTCAGAATTTACTTGTCACCAGTGGTGAGCCGGTGAGAGGAAATTTTGGAACAATTAAAAACAGTGTAAGTGTTAATCAGCTGCAAGTTGAAGTTCTATTCCCAGAGAAGACACCCAGACTAAGGGGTACCCACTTTTCTGGTAAGTAAAATCAGTGATTCAACAACATTCTTATGTTGTTGGTCACAAAATTGTGGAACTTTAGAATCCAGGGTTGCAAAAAACCCAGGTTTTTTCAACAAAAAAAAAAAACCCAACCCGGATGGGTTTTACTAGGATTTTCATGTTTTATTAGGTTTTTTTTTTAAAGAAAGGGCAGAGATAAGTATCTTACTTTAAAAAAGCTTATTTTAATATAAATAGCTAAGTTTAATTTTATGAATTGACTTAACATGCAGGTAATTAAAGTGTAATTAATAGTTAATACAAATAAATGGGTGCAAAAGTCTGAAAATAGTTTCTTCTGACATCACGATACAAAAATTTTATATGTACTCACATACATCACACATTTGAAACTTATCTTATCACAGGATTACTTTTTATTTAAATTTCAATCTGCAAAAATATTTGAGGAAATTATATATTTTTTTGCATAGAAAGCGAATCAGAGGCACTGACTAATCAATGGCCATACAGTCAAATCTAGTCAGCAAGGTGACTCTCCAGTCTTCAAACACAGTCTTTTCACCATAAGTTCATTTTTTAGGCTAGACTACATATATATTGCAATAGAATAGCTCTTTAATATTACAGAGAATAAAAAAGAAATCAATTTTAGAAAAACCCAGCAAAACACACTTTAGGGTGGGTTTTACTGTGTAGGTGGGTTTTTTGCAACACTGTTAGTATCTCACAAAGGATAGCTGCAGTAATGCTCTCATATGTGCTTTTTTACTAAATTAAAATTGTGTTGCATCGAAAATTTATTTGTATAAGCGTTTAAGAAACTCATCCTCAAGATTTTGATGTAATATGGGTCTATAGTAGTGTTTCAGAGAAACAGTTGCTTGCATCTCTGGTTAAGAACCGGGGATTGTGTGTTCAATCCTGGCAGGAGTCTAAGTAACTGTCATGTAATAGGCAGGTATTGGAGGTAACATCACTTTTGTTTTTTCTGTCTTTTCGCTGAGTCTTTACATTAGCATATTAAGGCGACAAAGGACTTTCAAATTTTTTTTTTAGAAATTCTCAAGGGATTTGTTCGAAATTCTCAGTACACATTTATAGTGTTAAAGACAACTTACATACGAAATTTCAAAAAAATCTTTTAAAATTCAAGAAATTTATATAAATTAAAATTTCAAATTTTTAATGTTTGTTTTAATATTATTCCTCGCATCTGAAATATTGTTAGAACGAAAAAAATTCCTTTAAAATATTACTTATTACGTAATATAAAAATAATTGTTGGTAATACTTTTTTTTATTATTGAAACAAATAACAGTAAATAAAAAGTAAACAACCAGCATTTTTGGAAAAAAAATCATCATATCGCTATAAAATACCATGTATAAAAATAATACTATTTACTTAATTTAAAAAAACTTTTCTAGCAAAATGTTAATGATATTCATAAATATATAGCATCAAATTCTCAGGTCAACAGAATGAAAATTCATTTTGCTGGAAAAGTTTGAAATTTGTAAATTTGTCAAAAAAGACATTTTGAGAAAAATGAGTTTAACTACTTTTTTATTGCAGGGCGTCATCAAATCAGAAATGGCCGTAACTTTGTAATTTTTTCTCTAATCAAGAAATTTTTTAAAAACATTTTCAGTTAAATGTCTAAATTTCAAAAATATAAAAAAGAAAATAATAATTGCTTATTTAAAAGCCTCTTGTCATATTAAGTAAATCTATGTTTTTCACTTTTCAGAGTAAATTCAAGATCTTGAGCCATCTAAACGTACCGTAAACCGGGGCGAGTCTACCCATTTTAGTTTTATTTAATTTTCACTATTTTAAATTGCAAATAAAATTTTTTTTACTGACGGAGGACTTAGTCCAGACTCTAAGGAAGATGGAGCTGTAGTAGTTTGATCCGTTTTTATTTATTTGGTGTCTTTTTAACCGACCTGTTCAAACGTCTTTTGAGAGATTTGTATTGAAAATCAGCAAACTTTTAGTTGGTGTTCCGTAAGTATGTTATTATTATTACTATTTTCACTTTGGTTAAGTGATAAACTTATCTAAGACTAAGATTACATTAATTTTATATGAAAAAAAAACAAACAAAAAGAATGTAAATTTTGCTGTTGTAAACAAAAAGCCAGAATTCGTGGGGCAAGTCGTATTTAGTTTTAATAAAGCATAATAATATAATTTAGAACTTTGTTTATATTAAAATTAAGTCATTTTAAATGAATTTGAGTATATTATTTTAATTCTGCATTGATAAATTTATCATTAATAAGAAAATTTATAGGTTAAATATAAATGTAAATATAAAATATGTTTATTTTACCTATTTTTTCAATTTTTATATTACAAAATTAACTTTTTTTATTTAATGCAAGTTAAATAAATTATTATTTATAAATTATTATTACCTCCCAAAAGAATGGGAAAAGGATTTTTCATGATTCCCAATGTTTGAATTTCGATTTTGTTAATAATCTTTAATTATTATTATTTATTAATTATTTAATTGTAAATTTATATTAATTTTAATTTATTTTTATCAACAATAATCAGAAAAAAATGTTATTTTATAATGTTAATGATTATAAAAACAAAACTGTGATCAAAATGTGATAATCGATCAAATACTCAATTTGTGTTATTTTATGAATAAAAAAATGGAATATATAATAAAGTTATGAATTTTACTTCATAAATATCCTATATAGTAACTAAAATAACAATTTAATAGTAAAATTTGATTATTTACAATGTTAACATTCATTTTAGTAGAATGGGTAGACTCGCCCCATACGAGAGATTTGTCAGCAGTTCTATAAAAATATACAGTAACAGCGTAACTGTTAATATTTTCTAAAATCGATTTCACAGCTTTAAAGAGGGATAAATAGCGATTCCGAAACACCTATTAAAAGCCTTTTTTCTTTAATATTTACAAAAGTTTGGCCACTTGAAAGTTGACAAACTGAAAAAATGGGTAGACTCGCCCCGGTTTACGGTAGTCTTTTTCGGCTACATTTGTGTATATCACATGACCAGAGGATATGAGAGCCCCAGATCTATAAAGAACTGATTAATAATTCTTTTTTTTAAGGGGATTTTTCTTTGCTTTTAACTAGTAAGATGACACTGGTTTAATGTTAAATAATTTTATTTATTGAAGATTCTTACATTCAATCTATAGACAGATCTTTATGTGCACATTACCTCGGTATACTGGCGAAAACTCCTCATTCCGCTCTCTGGCGAATCATTTAATTTAATTTGTAGATTAGCTAGGTAAAGTGGATACCAAAGGCTTTCAAGGTTAAGAGGTAACATATGCATTATTTATCTTCTAAATAAGCGATGTTATGATTGTCAATCAATATTACTACATTAAAAATAGTACATTAATAAACTATATTACTCTATTATTATATACATAAATAACCAATATAAAACAATAATATTACACAATGCATGCATGACTCAAATGAATTAAAAATGGAATAGGAATGTATTAAATACAGAACAACAGACAAACAAATTAAAAAATTTATTTTCTAATATTTGACATAACAAAATGAATATTATTGCCCTCTACCTTTTATTTGGTGGCTGTTAGCAAAAATGTTAAGCATCATTTGATAATAAAATAAATAATAAAAAAAATTACTTATAAAAAACTAATACTAATAAAAAAAATTATTTACTAATAAAAAATTACATTTAGATCTATATGCATATTTGCACTATCAGAATAAATTGTGGTTTAAAAAATGTGTTTTAAAACTAGGAAATTCAATACTTAAAAATCACTTTTTTACAGCATGGTTTTTTAAATGTCACAACTAAAGTGCTCATTGCACACCAAATATAAATTATCTGATTTCACTAGCTGAAACTCAAATATTTAGCAATACATTTTAAAACTCGCAAAATCCTTTAAAAATTTTAAATACCTTATCCATTCTTTACAATTTCAAAACAAGGATTTCTTTAAAAAATTTAATCAAAAGAGATGAGGAATAAATAAGATATACCTACATTCATCAGATTTATCCCAGAAATCTTCATTTGCAGTAGAATTGATCGACGCATTCATCATGGAATCATCTACATTGAATAAATAGAAAAATTATCTCAATAAATTTTGTCAAAAATTTACAGAGGTGGGCCATGGAGGACAGAGCTTACACAATATAGTGACCAATGGCCTTATGGTGGCAATTGTGTCAGTATTGTGCACCAACTGCCTTTACTTCCCAGACAAGCAGGCGCAAATCATACTGAAGGTGGGTGGGATTTAAGCTTTTACATGGATAGAACCCAGAGTTTCACCTGACTTCGAAAAAATTACATAAAAATTTGTATCAGGAAAATCTAAGTTTTGTATCAGAAAAAACTTAATTTTTATCAACCATAAAAAAAATACTGTAGCTAAAAATAAAAGAAGAAGAAAAAAGAAAGAAAAAAAACACTTTTTTTCAGTAATTAGACACAAATAGAACAGTAAACAAAAGTTTTCTTTTGATGTCACTGAACACAATTTTTTTAAAGGAGAAAACAATCAAAAATACAATTATTTAATTTTCATCTTCCCAGAAAAAAACCCAACATTTCTCTTAAGTTAAATTTGCATTTTTCAATAAATTTTGTAAGTAAATAATGAGCTTATCAGTCAAGATAACAAAATAACAATAATAGAAAATTTATCAAGTTTTACTACTGAAATTAAAACATTTATCCAAGAAATACTGCATTGAAAATTTTATCTAACAAATCAATGTTTATTGGTTTAATGCGACAAAACTGATAACATTAAAAAAGCACATTATAGAAACATGATTACTGGAAGAAATTATCTGATTTTTTGAAAACTTTTAATTAAATAGTTTACTTCAAACTTTTCCCTCAATGCATTTTTAACTTAGTCTTTCTTGTACAAAGAATATTTTTTTTGCTCAATTTAATTAAGTAATAGAATGTCATTTTTAAGCACACAAGTAACACTTATAAAATTTAAAGGGCAGGCAGAGAGAAAATATTTCCATCCAATAAATTTTTTTTCAATCAACACAAAAAAGAATGTATATTCTAGTATTAAGGGCAATACTCTTGCATTTTGAAAAAAATAACTTGTTTGTTTTCCTTCCTTGCATTTCACTAGTTATTATCCCATTAAAAATTGAATAAATAAAGATTTTAAAAACTAGGAAATCCGTATCAATAACACAAAAGAAGAAGAAAAAAATTGATGACCATGTGGATTTAAGACCAAGTCATGCAAATCAGATGCAGCAAAATGAGGTTACTCAGATCCTAGTTAATTTTCTAGTAATTTCTAGTTAATAAATAAGTAATCTAGTTTTTCGAGATTTTCTAGTTAATAAATAATATCACATTAAAAATATAGAAGTTTTAAAAACCATGCCAAAATCAGCAGCAATAACAAACAAAAAATCGTTATAAGAAACGATAGAATAATTGAGTGAATACTCAAATGAATTATTTGATTTTCACGTATCGTAATAATACAGATAGAATATACGAAGATCTTTTTTAAAAAAGCATGAGAAAGTCAATAGTAATAACTGCTGAAATCAAGCACTTCAAAAATTAATTACACAAGGTTAGATATGAATATCACGCATGTGTTGTAATAATATCAAATGGGTCATTCTCACAAAAAGGTGATTTTTTAAGTCCCGTAGTAATAAATATTAGGAAATACAGCAGATTTCTTAATATTTTTCTTCATCATTTTTCGTAAAGTTCTAACTAACAAATGATATGCATTTCTGCTAAATGTATTTAATATTTCATTCCTATTTTTTTAATAAACATAACTTCAAAATCCCCTCTGTAGACGTCCCTACGTCTGGGACACAAAATAATTTTTAATGGCTGTTAAACAATTTAAATGTTATTTTAATGATTTTTATAGTTTTACCTAGTTAAATGTTTATAGTAACTTTTTATTTAATATTTTTTTTAAAAAAATTTATTTTTGTAAAATAAATGACTAGTAAACTTTGTCCATCAAAAATGAAATCTCCCTCCGTGGACAATTAATTTAGTTCGGTAAATATGCAATAAAGGGCAGCATGTGCGAAATCCCTATAAGTCAGCTGCTGGGAAAGGTAACCATTCCATTTTCTAATGTTAACTATGAGTTGTTTTTGTTCTCTTTGGTGTCAGTTTTGGATTGTTGTGTTCAACTGGGGTTTGGCAAAGTTCTCACCGTATACTCCGTGGACATCATAAAGAAGGTAAGAGAAAATCATTTTATTTTTGATAGATGAATTTTAGATTGCAAAAACAGTATATTTAATAAAAAGAACTGCCCCATTTTTGTAACTTTAAAATTAAAAATCAGTAAAATTCAAGAACTAGTTTTTGTCTCCTCCGTGGACTTGTTATGTCCACAGAGGAGAAGAAACAGTCAATGAAAGAGACAATGTGTTAGATAACCATAATACAATTTTAATAATTAAAAGACTATTTCCTTTTAATTGATATTTTTTAAAATGGAACAAATGTGTTAATTTGTTTGCATTTTTAAAGAAAATCAATTATGTTTAACTTTTTTTTATCGGAGAAGTAAATATTGGCAATTTTTCTAAATAATTTCTGTGATGTTAAACATTTTTTTTTCTCTTCAAAATTCAGGAAGAAAATGGCAAAACCAAAATGTAAAAAAAGAAAGCAATCAAATGTTTATATGCAAAAGAGAAGGGAACAGAAAAAACTCAGTATGAGACAAGCTAGACAGAAATTAAAAGAAAACCCTATATTATTTGAAGAAAGTAGAAAAAAAAAGAGCAAGAAACTTTAAACTCTGTATCAGAAAAAGATTTAACAGAAAAATCGTGATTAAATGTACTTAAATTTCTAGAAATTGATCGAGCAAGCCGTTTGTGCCCAGGGAAAAAAGAAACAATAACAAGAAAAAACAAAAACGTTATTTGGATGACAGTATGTTTAACTTGCATAAATTTTCATAAAAGAGTACCCTCAACACTCAACTTTCATGTGGAGTCTGAATTTTTATTTCAATAGTCTTTACATTTTAATTTATTAATATTCAGTAAGAGTTACTTAAAAAATTGCACACCTTGGTTAAAAATGGATGTTTCCTTTCATAGCAGCATGATTAATTGGAAGTAGCTCTATCTCTAACAATGAAATATTTTATTATTTACTTATTAATGTTAAACTCATATCAGTTGTACCCAATAATTAATGAATTAGTCTTCATTGACATTTTATAACATAAAATGTCTCCTCCGTTGACTATTACATCTCCTCCGTGGACAAGGCAGAAATTAAAATATTTTAAATCTTGTAAAAAATAAAATAGAAAACTTGACCATTATTATAAGGACATTTAACAAAAATAAATAAAAGCATTCATGTAATTTTTATCACATTTTTAATTACTATAATTTAAGAAATTTTTTTAGTCTATTTATGCCTTTTCAGTGAGAATGACCCAAATAACAAATAAAAAGAATTTAAAAAACCTTAAGAAAATGCTAAGCAGTAACTGCCCATAACATGAAATAAATTATCCGAAGTTCAAACAGCAAAACCAACGTTCATAGTAGATTCTAAAAGTTTAATGTTTCTAGCTGATTCTGCTACTGCATTTTTCTGTAATCTAGCAATTAGATTTTTTATTAGCAATTTGGTACTTGCTAGTCGACAAAATCGTGCCTCGATCAGAGAGCAGCTCGCTTATTGTTTCAAATCAAAGTTGGGTCAGTCTTGGTTTCTTTATTAGGGGTGAAGAAATTTTTTTTTGGGGGGGGGGGGGGACGCTATTTCTACATGAATTTTCTTCTTTTTTACACCCTGAAAAAGCAAGAAAAAATATTAAACATGAAATTTTTTCTTNTTTGGGGGGGGGGGGTGAATCGCTAATTCATTATAATGTAAATCCTTAACTTTGTTCTGTCAAATCCAGCTTTTGCCTAACAATTTATTTATTGTTAAATTCATTGGTGAATCATTGACAATGCATTTCTAATTATGTAAGAATTAAATGTGAAAAAACAGCACATTGTAGTATGAATGTTCTCATTTCAGAATTAATTTTAACACTAACTTGTGCATAACTGAATGTCATTTACTGTACTTACTATAGAAATAATCAGTTATTTATTTCTTTTTTGAGGGAAGATAAAGTTTCAGCATATTTTATTGGAAAGATGAGCTTTTTTTTTCTTTCAATAAAATTGTTCTTATTCTTTATTTATTGCTTTTAGAGTTGTTAAAGGAGTAGAAAAAAAATGATCGTAGATTAGTTGTAAACAACAAAATTTCATAACTCCTTATAGTTATAGGAAAAAAATTATCTCAAAAAGATCATTACATTATTTCTCAAAAACCATTAAATTTAATATTCATGTGTGAGAGTGTAATCTTGAAATCTTATCAATTATGGATTGATTGGCATCTCTGTTCATTAAAATTAACAAATGATTTGAGAGAAGAAAAGCATCCAAACCTTTCTCTAATTTAGCGGATGACCTCACATCAGACTGACCATGTTTCCTCCACAATGATGATGATGATGTCAATGCAGAATAAACAACATTGTCATTTAGTTTGCTTTCGTCTTCAGTATCCGCTTTAGATTCAACCTGCAAATGAAAAGTATTGGTTTGAAGGAAGCAGTCGAATTAAACAAAACTCATATTAAGCTAAAAATTTCCATTAAACTGTATTTTCCAACTAATCACATGACTGCCGACCCCCAATTTTCGGCAATGGCAGGTCCCTTTTTAGGAATGTTAAAATTCAGAGTTTAAAAAAAATATTAAAAAAGAGATAAAAATTAAAAAAGCATTATAATGCTTGTTCTAATTTACATTTTTTTTCTCAATTCAATTCTTTTTATGATTTTAAATTTTTTTTTTCATTTAGTTTGTTTTATTTATTTATCATCATTTTTTGTTGATGCATTGGTCAAAGATGAAAGGTCTCTTTTAAAGATAAAAAAGAGATTATAAATGATTGACTTAATAATCTTCCACTTCAAAAAGCTACTCGGGTACTGCCCAATGTATGTTTGTCTCTTATAGGATCTTTTTTTCACATACAATATATTTCATTTCCCATACAGCGAATGAAGGAGGCTATTTACATAAGGGCCACGGCAAGGTCAACCAAATGAGGCAAAATTGAAAATTAATATTTTATAGTAAATAATGTGTCATTTTAAAGGTAAAAAGCTGAAGATTTAGAAATGCCTTCAAGGGACCAAAATTTCGGTTTACTGTAACCGGGACTTCACTATATCCGTTCCGCAAACAATTTTTATCTAATGGTTTCAAACTCCTCCTTTATATTACATATTAAAGTAAATGACCCATAAAATAAAATACAAAAAATGACTGAAAAATATTATGTAGCAACAAAAATGTGTTAACTTTTATTTTTAATAACTCTTCGTCTTATGCACAAAAAAAAAGTTATCTTTAGCTGAGGAGCAATCCTCCACATCAGACATGGAAACATTTCCCGACTCTCCGATAACTTTTCCTGAACTTATACTATTCCACTTTTAAAACCTGTCTACACTTAAAAGTTGTTTCACCAAATCGCTCAGCAAATTCATCGGCTTTGACTTGAAGCATTTGTCCAGGCAGTGGATGATTGCAGCTTCTTTGAATGCTGATTAATAAAGAAGCAAACAAGAAAAATGCTTATGGCTACATTTCATGCTATAGATGGTTTTAAAAATCGGTATATGTATTTATTTTGAAGCAGAAATTTCAAAATTATTACATAAAAAAATGAAGAAAATAAATCAGTGGAAGAGAGAAAAAAGTTCATAATTTCCTCTCTTCTTTTGGTTCACTCTATTCACAAAAAATAACACTATGCGTTTGTAGCAGGGCACGGGGACGAACATTTAGTTCATTATATCCAGGAGTTCACTGTGAACCGTGTTCACTATAGCGGACTTTTACTGTATTAGTTTTTAACTTTGATTAATTTATTTTTTAATTAATTACAGGCTGCTGAATGAAGTGAAATATCATCTGAAATGTTTAGTCATATTAAGAAAGAGAAAGAAATCCAGATTTTCTATATTTTTCCAGATTAGTATATTATATAAAGACAGGTTGCATAAGTAGAATTGTGGCACATTTCTACAAGAATTCTCATAAGGTGTTTCAGATATTTCATACCCTACACCAAAATGCGTAATTATTTGTTCTAAGTAAATAAAATTAGAGCTGGGAAAATGAGTTTTTCTGTTGAAAGCCCATAGCTCATTGGTATTCTCTTTTTAAATTTTGTAAACATGAAATATTTCGTTCGTAAATGAATAATTAATACGTTTGACAGCTGACATTATTGTTATCTTTTTAATTTTAATTCATTTTTACCTATTTTTCACACATACTTTTTTTTTACTCATAAGATGAAGTGAAATACTGAGTCCCCTACCCCCTTCTGTCTCATGCAGCTGGTTAGTAAAAGAGACATTTCCTGTAACCTTTTTATTAGAGTGTTAGGGACAGAAGAAATACTGTGGAAAAGGGTAAACACAGCAAATGTTAAAGTGGAGGGGAAATCCCCTTTAGTCACACAAGAAAAAATAAAGAGCATGCCACGCCTTTATGCTTGATTGATAGCCAATGATGGGAGAGAAAATAGGAATTTGTCACTGCTCCGCCCTCAACTTGAATGACAAATAAGGAGGAAATGAATTTTCTTCACCACCTACCCACCTTAATGAATGACAGGAATTTCCCCTTCTTGATTGAATCATTCTAGTTCAAAATGGGGGAGAGAGCAATTAATATTTTCATAACTGTCAATTTTGTTCCTTTTCTATATTTATTTTTATAATAGCAATAATTATTATTATTTTTTTTTAATATTTTGTTTTTGATTGATTAGATATCATTCTAATAATAAAACATTATTTCCCAAAAAATAATGGTAATTTATTTTTTGCTTCTTAGATTCAGATCATTTTAAGCTTTGTTTACCTTGGGGGTCTATTATACGGAAAAATCTAATATCCGGACTTTGGGATGTTCTACCGATTCCGGATAAGCGACTTTCCACAATAATGTATGTGTATTTACAATATGTAAACAAGTAGGATATAGCAAAGTTTATCTTGTATGGTATGTTTAGTTCAAAAGGTGATTTAAAGACATAAATAAAAACGTCTTAAAATATAAAAATTTCCTGTAGGAGATAAAATATTCCAGAAAGTGAAAAATGTAGTAAAACACAATGATCCATATGTTCTAATCATTAAGAAAAGGAGGGCATGTTAAATTTAAGAAAGCATTTAACTGAAAAAATTCCACTGATTATCAGCAAGAAATTTGGAATAAGTTTCAGTTTTTATAATTGTCTTTATCGATTTATATTTAAAATGCGCAATTTATGTCTGACACAAAAAAGTTTACACCTGACAATGAATTAAAATAATTTAAAATGAATTATATATTGTAGATTTCCTAAAAATTATCAAATTGCTTAATTTAAATGTAAGCTTTAAAATTTAATTGGGTTTAAAAATAAGTTTGAAACCAATTTACTGAATTTAAAAGAATAGGTAACCAAGTAATCATACTTTAATTTGCGTGATTTAGAATTGATACCAACAGTTTAATCTATTAAACGTGAACTTTTTGTTATCATATTTCATAAAATAAATTACTTTTTGATAGAATATCAAAAAATCATTTATCACGCGCGTGGACTAAGTATTTTAAATACAAATTTTACAATTTCAAGTTTAACTCATAATTTATAAATGAAATCGTTCTGAGAAATTTGAATTCAATTTTTACGCGCTACACCATAGAATTGCCCATAACATGAATAAGGTTTTTTTAATAGCGAACATTAAACTTTGGCTGAAAAGTCCTGCATATTGAAATCATATTTAATGATGGAAATGTTTATAACCAGATCCTGGATTTAGATTTCAAAAGAATCCTTACAAATGACTTTAAATATTACAAAAGAAAAAACATAAAAATTTCAAAAAACGTCCTTACAAATGTAAAAAATATCTTTGAAAATGTCCATCATTTAATTTAAACATTTTAAATTATAACACTATTTTCCTCTTAGAAATTTCTTCCATTCATATCAAGATATATAAAACTATATTCAATGTTCACTAAAGTGTGAAATAAATGTTGTATTTTACAATATTAAAATACTCTTGGAAAGGAAAAGACTCCTCAAAATATTTTTACATATAAACTTTAATAAACATCGAAAACTTCCTACCTTCTACAATACCAGGGGTCGGTCCAGACATTTCGTGAAAGGTCCTGCTTTTGTAAAATTGTGAAAAAATTACGCGTAATTTGTGAATATAAAATAAACGTTAAGTCACACTCTTTTAAACAGGGTCCTGCTATTGCAAAAAACTTTTTCAAAGTGTTTTTAAATTGTAAATAGATACAAGATTATGTTCAACACTGTAAAATTATAGTACAAACAAATTAAATTTTCAAAAATAAACAGCAATTGCTGCTACCAAATTAGAGATGCAACATACAGATATTTGGTATTTAGTCTACATGCTGAACTCAGAATATTCATTTCGGACGAATAATTGAAGAAGCGTCTGACGAAGACAAAACTTAATTCGTTTTATCGTCTCCCCCCCCCCTGGGAAGGGCTTATTCGATAACAAAACAATAATGAAGATAAACAAATTTGTGAAGGGTCCGTTTTTAAGTTAAAATATTTTGTGAAGGGTCTGTTTTTAAGTTAAAATATTTTGTGAAGGGTCTGTTTTTAAGTAAAAATACTTGGTGAAGGGTCCGTTTTTAAGTTAAAATATTTGGTGAAAGGTCCGTTTTTAAGTTAAAATATTTGGTGAAGGGTCCGTTTTTAAGTTAAAATATTTGGTGAAAATATATTTTGTGAAAGGTCTGTTAACAGACCCAAATTTCTTCTAAACAGACCCCTGAATACCCAAAACCAACAAAATTACAAAAACAAAATATCCTAAAAAGTTTTTTTTTTTAAAAAATTCTTAAATGCAATAAAATGACCCAAAAGTTAAAAAAAAAAATGCAAATGATCTGTGTTCCAAAAGAATCTCACCCATGAATCCTGACTGATGTCTGATCTCTTTCTTCCACGCCAATTCTCACTTAATTCTGGCTTCCTCTTCAAATATGTTGGTTCATAAATTATTTCAGGAATCTCTTCAAATGACAATCCAAAATCATTCTATAAATAGATTTTTATATTAACAATCACAGTTTAAGCATTCAGAAGTAGAATAGAAATAGTGTTAATAGATGTTCGTAATTTTGAGGTGTATATATGTACTAATTGATTTGGTATAGAGGAATAGTAATAAAATTATGTTTGAATTTACTATTGAATATAAAAAGTAACACGAAGATAAAGGTATTAAATTAAAAATTATACGACAATGAAACTTCATATTTTATTCTAAAATCAAATGGACTACTCGGAATCAGTGTTTTAGTTTTTGGTAATTAGAACTAGCTCATATTGCCTTTTCATCATTTTGCATTTGAACCACTAAAACTTTTTGTTCCAAACATTTCTGATTTCAGTTCTTTCGATTTTTGATAAGGAAAGAAGATTAAGTTTCAGAATAGCTTGTTACAAATATGAAATTCCTTTGTTTTCTGCTCCCCCCTACCACAATTGATTTTTTCCCTATATCTGCGTTTAAAATTATTTAAGGAGTAGAAGAAATTATTGAACATTAATTGCAAAGAACGAAATTTCATAACTCTGGGTAGTTAAGGGGAAAAAAACTTTTTTTGAACGGACTGTTAAGAAAATTCTCAGAAACCACGGTTTTGTGAAAATGTTTTTCTCCTTCAAATATCTCTATAGTTTTATTTGCTCATTATGAGCCCCAATACTTCTAATTTTTTAACTGATTAATCTAAAAACTTTAAAATATGTCGATTCTGCCGAGCAATAAATAAATCAATGCAAGTGATTAAAAATTCAAAATTTTGATTTTTATGTATTTAGCATTTTTGTGAGATAAACTACTTATTGCAAAATGTTTTATTTCAAAAACAGTTTAGTTTTTTGGATTCCATTTTTATTGTTCATATCATTAGCAATAGAAATAAAATAGTTGCCACTTATCTTGAAATTTATTGCGAAGCTCTTACAATGACAGTATTATCATTATAGTTCGCTTTGTCTGTAGATTTATTTTTTTAAAATTATTTTTAATAAATTTGCAATATTTTGGATAAAAAATGACTTATAGAACAAATGCTTACGTAAACAAGAGCATATAAGTGTAATAGAAAATAGATTAACAGACATTGTTCAATTTAAAATCAAATTGAAAGGATGATGTTAATTTGTTTAAATAGAAAAATATTTAAGTTGAAAAAATTTATTCAATGTAAAATTTAGGTACTGAATTTAGTACAAAATCTATATTTTACAAAACTTAAAATGGCAATAAAATATGGCAAAAAGCACCATTAAGTGAGACATAATATTTCAAAGCGGGGCACAAAAACTCTACATTTGTACTGTAAACCCTCTCTGGATAAAACTGTTATTTTTCACGATTGATAGAATAACTCCTGATAATATTATGTGAAATTCATCTATTATGCTTAGAAAAAACCACTATCCATTGTGTACAACTTTTAATGTTCTCTTTTGGAATAGATCTTGTTCTGATTTCAGAAACAAAAAACCTGTACGGAATGTTTACTATAGGCTGTCTAAAGTAAGAACTCCCCAAGCCATTCGTCTGGACCCGTGGCGATAACTATGGTAACGAGGTATAACTATTTCAAGTAGAGGTGTGGGTGGGGTCACTGTTTGGGACAGGTTTCGGTGAGAGAAAGGGAATCTTTTTTTTTGGTGTTTAGCCCTAGAGTGAAGATAAGCTACCCTTCCTGAAATGCGCCATTCTTGTTTCCATAGCCGTAGACAGCCTCAGACTTTGTGGCGGAGGGGGGGGGAGGTTCTTACTGTAGACAAATCATAAATGATTCATCTCCATAAGCTCTCAAACAAAGAAAATTCGTGGAAGGAACAAAGTTTAAGGATGACAAAGTCAAAAACCTAAAAATTGAAGAATATTCTAAATGAGAACCTCTAAAAGTTGTTTCCAAAACTTCTATATTCAAGTAAAGAGGTGTAGTATAAAAAAAAGATATAAGTTTTCATCACATTTTGTTACAAATATCAGATTTTTACAAACCAAGTGCCAATCTTAATGGTTCAAAGTGTCAAATATGCTAATTAATTAGCACAAACCATTCATTAAGTTGTGGAAACAGACACAAAAACACCTGAATAAAACCCTTTTCCAACAGATTTTTAATCATCTAAGTAAGGAGGGGAGTCGTACCCCCCTTATTGGTAATGACAGTTTCCAAATTAGAGATGTCAAAAGTTTGGACCTTTTAATATTAATTTCACTCTCATATGGGAAGTTTTGGAAAGTGTAAAACACTTTTTCATTAAATTTATTTATCTAAATATGATTTCATGTAAACAATAAGTTTCAACATTTCATTTTTTTTTTAAAAAAAGAAGCAAATTATGAATAGTGAGGTTTACAAATTTTAACATCATTAAACAACAAAATTTTAAAATGTCATAATATTGAACACTGTACATTATGGCAGGCAAAGGTTAAACTTAAACATATATAAATGGGTATGCATTTGCATAATAATTTCAAGAAATATTAGATCAGCCACACCTTGAAGAGTTGCAGTATTTTTTTATTCTGTTCAAAAACTAAGATTAAGTCAGTATTTCAGTTTTTTTTTTCTATCTTTTTGCACATTACCTCAAACGAAAATACAAAATTTAAGCTAAAAAATAATGTAGAGCTATCTTTTGTTATATTCTATATTCATACAGTAAATTTTGTTTTCAAGCAGCAAGTATGCCCAATATTTACTTTAATTATTGCACAAGTAATGACATCATTTTGTGTAACAATTTTTATAAAATAACATAAACCAAAAAAAGTTTTAATTAAAATTATTCAAACTCTTGAAAACAAAAATTTAAAGACAAAAGAAAACAAGATTAAAAAACGAAATGACACTTCTCTGAGATCCAACTGCTTCAACTGTTTCAAACAAGTAACACCTTTTGGGATTTCTTTCAAATTGTTGTTGTACAAGTCCAATGAAGTCAGTGTAACTAGATTAGAAAATGATTCAGGCAACTCTGTAAGCTTTAAAAGAAAAATCATCGATTTAGAATCAAGAAATAAGAAGGTTGACACTTGCTGAAACTGATAGTGAAAAAAAAGTGGTATCCATGTGTGTATACAGTGAAACCTCTTTTTATAAAAACTAAAGCAAAACAGACATAATTTTTATTCCCAGGGAATGTTCTATGAATAAACCATTATGTACATTCTCCGCAAAGCGGACGCTCCCGTAGCCGGACAGTCATTTTTGCCCTGAAACGTTATTTTCTATCTCTTCAAACCACACACTACTTTTTCTAAATTTGAAAAAAAAAAAAAAAACTATTTCTGCTTTAAATTGCAAGAAAAAAATGCAACTTTTCACCATTTTTAAGGCATGTAAATTTTTTGCCTTATCTATAACTAAAAAATATTGTTAAGCTATTCCACTGCTAAGGAATCAATCACCCCTTGCCTTGTCTTTGCAAAGAAAGGAGAGAAAATGCACTCTTGAAATAATTCATACAGCGGCATCTTTTTATCTAGAGGATACAGGTTATAAGACCCCTCAAGTTGAAATGAGGTCGTAAGTGCTCTCAATGTGCTTCTCCCCCCCCCCCCAANTTCCCCCCCCCCCCCGAAAATTTCTTTCATTTTCTAATCAATTTGAGGACTGTATTTAACAAAACTGAGGCAAAAATAGAGAAAAGAATCTTTGAGGTTTTCATGTAAATGAAACATTTAATCAGACACTTGATAGCTGATCAATTGTGAACTCCATGGGTCCTCATGATTTATGCTTTGCTTTTTTATCTGTGAATCACGGGACGTTTCCTATCAAGCGAATAGGGGATGTAAACCTAATAATCGAAACCAACTGAGGATTAAAAGCTCCTATTCGGTATCATATGTCTAACTTGAATATCTGTGCTAATAGAAAATTATATTCTTTCATCTGTAGCTACATCTAGAATTATGTATTTATATCAAACTCTTTTATTTATTCTTCTTCATCGAAAAAATATTTTTTTAAATTTAAATAAATATCTTTGCAGATAGTTATTGTAGGTTCTTTAATTATTTCTATATCTTTGAAAATATTCTAAAAACAATTTACGAAGCTAAACTTTGTTATTAGGTTACCCTTTCCGTTAACGACAACTCTTATAAAGGAAATTTTTTTCGGTCCTCAGAATGTCTGCTTAACCGAGGTTTCACTGTACGTATACACATATATAAGTATAAACTGATATAAAACAGTTACAAAGAACTACTTTTAAAGTTCTTTAATAAAAAGAATTCTAAGTTAATGTTCGGTTCTCATCTCATAAAGCAAGAATGCATCAAACATTGAATCCATAGCTTTATAAAATTTTGGTTCATATAGTTTTAATTATAAGACACTAATTATATTTATCGACTATGTCAACCTTCATCTATTAAAAGGTACCTCAAGATAGAATCATGTCTTATATACTAGTGAATTCATATTTAATATTTATAGTGGTAGTTATGCGACATTAGCATTAAATGCTTAATCCTTTGTATTTTTTATACATAAAACTATTCAAGATTTAGATGTGACTGGGCAGCAATAATAATGTCATAAGTACAGATTCAATTCTCAAATGTAACATTAGACTCATGAGCAGTTATTTACATAGAAAGAACCCTTCCCTCGATGAAAAGAATGTTGTCATGTGATTCCTCAAGTAAACCCCAGACTTTTACTATTGATGTAGATTGCTGAGCTCTGTTTTGAACTATATAATTCAATTAAAAATTGTCACATACTGCTATGCATATGGATACGAAGAAAAATTCATAAAAGGACCTTTTATATTTCACAAATAAGATTTTTACTCTTTGATATTCCTTTTTAGACATTTATTTTCAATTTATATGCTAGCGAGAAAGGTTATAAAATTAATTTAATTTGTTTTTAACTTGTAAAACAGCTACTATTTTTTATATGTTTATTTAAATTGACAGATTATAATGTAGTTAACATAGATAGGTATTTTCATTACAATTAAATTTCCTATTCATACAAAATTTCGGATATTTTTACTGCTTTTTTCAATGAAGCACAAGCATTAGATTTTTCAGGCCAATATTTTGTAAAAAGAAAATTACTTCTTTTTTCATTCTGTAATTTTTATTGAATCTTTGAAATTAATTTTCTTAAACAATTAAAGTGAATTTAGTTAAATATTTTAATTTGTACTTTATTATGAACACATTTTTGGATAAAAAATAAAATAATATTTTAATAAATTTCGTCATTAAATGAGCAAAAGAATATAAATTTTTGTACTACTTAGAAAATTATTTTATAACACATATAGGAATAATTGTTTGGATATTTTATATTTACATTTATTACTGTACATTTATTATTTAGGTAAATACTAACTAACTAAAACTAAATTTTAACGACTGTGTTTTCTTAAAAAATAGGTGTGGCTATTGATGTCTATTATATATATTTTATTTTCCTTTTTGATTATCAATAAATGTTTTTATATTAAATGTTAACTAAGTCGAGAACTATCAATATGTCAAACAACAGATACATAGTTTATTTTTATATGGAATTTTGTAATACTAAATTAAATAGAGACAAATAACAAAACTAAAATTTGTTGTTTCAGTTTAAATACTTTTATCATTTTAGGGTAACTCACTAAAATTTGATTAGTATGTAGTGGTAAAAATAAATTATTATTGCATAGCAGGCAAACTAGGACCCCAAATTGTAGAGCATGTATCAATATTAATATTTGTTTCAAAAATAAAAAAAATTAATTTTGTTTTTATCAGAAAAATAAGCAGATAAATAATAAATAAATATCAGAATAATAATAAATAAATATTAGAATAATAATAAATAAATACCAAAGAATAACACTGAAACTATAAAGAAGTTAAGCAAAAGATGAATTGTACACCTGTGTAAGAATGGATACACATATATATTAGATATGCATACATATTTAAATAAAAAAAACTGCTACCTTAGATGTCCCGTTATTTAAATTTTTTTATAGTTAAACATAATCTCAATAAAATTTTATGCATTGATTAGAATTATTTAACTACTCCAAATTTTTAATGCAATTTACCTAAAAATTAAACACGATGCGTATTATTATTGTAGTTTGCTTTTGTAGGTTTATTAATTATTTCTAAAATTATTTTTAGCATATTTAGTTAATATACACATTATTCTTAAATCAAAAACAATTCACATCTGTTATAGAAACTACATACATTCGTATAATATGCTTGATTTTAAGCCAAATTGAATTAATGTTTTTAAATTGTCAAGTTACGTTGATTTAAAGTTATGAAACATAAAATTTAAATAATGAATTTAGTTTTACAAAATCAGAGCTTATAACAGTCCAAAAAGGTCCCCTTAAGTCTGCAATTATATCATCTATATATGTCATAAGGTGACAAAACTGAGTTCTTCCCCAGTGCTGTAATTTGTTTGTATTAGCAAGGTTTGGTACATTACATCTGAATGCATATGGCAACCCTTTAGTAAGCATTTGTGCTAACAAGCATTTGCTTCTGAATACAGGCCTGAGTTATTTTTCTCCACATAAAAAAAAACAATAATAAATAATTAAAAAGAAAAATACAAAAATAAATAACTGCAAAATTTTCTGAATTTTTTTTTTTTACTCCATTATTTCTAAATAGTAAATCAATCTCCAGCTTTTTTTAACCATGTTTGCTTAAAAATATCAAGTTCAAAATTTTGGTTCTCTGATTGACCTTATCATGGAATTGCCCAACAGATAATTTGTGTCTGACTTATATAGTTTATTTGCTTTTTTGTTTTTAAATTGGGTTATGCAGTAGTATTTATTTTTATTCTAATATCTTATAATTATGACATACTATTGTCTGAAATTAAAATACCACGTTTTTTTCATACTAATTAATGTTCCTTTTCAGAATAAAATTTTGATACTAAAATCTGGAACTCAGAAGCATGCTGTATAGGGAAATTACAGGAGCATCTAAAATGAATTCAGCAGTCTTTATAATTCAATACAAACCATATTATGATCAAGCTTTAAATCTTCTAGAGAACAGAGCATTCCGAAATTTTGCGGCAATTCTGTCAAATAATTCATGGAAAGCAAACAGATTTTTAGGTTCTTTAGCAGGCTAAAACTATCTGGTAACTTCTTCAAGTCATTATGGCAAATATCCAAATAAGTCAAGCCTAAAAGACTTCCAAAATCTGTAGGCAACTCACACAGTTGGTTTTCATCTAATTCTAGCTTGATTAGATTTTCTAAGCAGGTAAAAGAATCCGGTAAGTGTTTCAAGTTATTTCCATTGGCTATGAAACGATTTCGCTCCAGTTCATCTAAAGCACTGCCCATGTCCAAGAAACGTAATTCTTTTAAATGTCCAACACTCTCAGGAAGAGTATGGATGCTGTTGCCACTCAGATCGATCTGTTCCAACAAATGATTATTCGTCCCCAAGTACGGAGGAACTTCCAACAAATCATTGGCAGAAACAGACAGTTCTCTCAGATTCCGAGATTCCGAAATCCAGTTCGGCAGACCGGTGAGGCAATTTTCATTCATAAATAGTTTCACCATAGACAAAGCAGACTTAGAGTCATTTGGAAAAAATCTTACTTCATTATCGGTCAAGTCCACAATTTCCAAACTGGGAAGATTTTCAAAACTATCCGGAAGTGCTTTTAAGCGATTGTTGGACAGGTTCAATTCTTTCAAACTTTTTAGCATGCCGAAGCTTTCTGGCAGCTGGCACAAAAAATTATTGCTCACGTCGAGGTGAGTTAAAGATTCTAGTTTGCCGAAATCACTCGGGAGGTGGGTCAACTCATTTTCATCCAAAACGAGTTCGGTCAAATGGAATAGAAAGGAGAACTCATTCGGGAGGGTGTCGCTAATGCGATTGCCGGTCAGGTGAAGCTTTGTGAGTTTGGAGAGGTAGCATAAGCTTTTTGGAATATCACGCAGGAGGTTCTCCCTAGCATGCAACTCAGTTAAATTCGTAAAATAGTGTCCGATGTCTGAGGGAAGCTCCTTCAGTAAATTACCATTCACAGAGAGAAATACCAATCTTGGCAACTTCTTGCAAAAAGCTGCCGGCAGAGTTGTAATATCATTGTAATCCAAAATCAATTTTGTAGTACTACTAAATTGTAAATCTGGTACTTGACACAGTTCTTGAGAGGAGAAATTCGCAGTTTCTTCCATTCTTAATAATCTGAAATAATTTAATACATTTTAATTATTTTTTCATGAAAGGGGAAAAAAACAGTAATACAGGTAGGTATATACTGCTATTAAAGTATCAGCAACAAAAATACACTTAATTATCAACGAAAAAAAAAAAATATATGCCTACTCGTAGTTCATTTACGTCGCACTAGAGCTGCACAATGGGCTATTGGTGACGGTCTGAGAAATCCCCGAAGATGATCCGAAGAATTGCCTTCACAATTTTGATCCTCTGCCAAGGGGATGGCACCCCTGCTTTGGTAGCCCCACGACCTGCACGAGAAGTCGCGCACTTTACGGTAGAACAGTTAGACGAGGATCGATACCGCACACCCTCGGTCCCTACGTAAACCGATCCGAGTGGTGAACAACCCGCACACTGACCGCAGCCAGTGATCTGCCGGGATCACAACTGCAGGACACTGCCTAACGATCAGTTCTCTGCAGGACAATATATGCCTACGTGTAAGACATCTGTAAACTGTAATTTATTACATTTAGGAATCTTTTGTGCTTTTTTTTCTGTAGTCGCTATTCATGACATACAAAATTCTTATAATTAAATTTTCCCAACTTTTAATTTGCCTGAATTCTTTAATTCTAAAATTAAAATTTTTTCAAAAATAATTTTTTATAAAATTTTTGTTTTGCATTAAAAAAAATGGATTTTAGTCTATCTAAGAATTTTTCATACTCCTCTCTAGTCAACAAAAATAAGAAATTCAAAAAATGTTCCCTTAGATCAGTGTTTCCCAAAGTGTGGCACGCATACCCCCAGGGGTATGTGAACAGTTTAGTGGGGGTACGCGTTCTTATGCGAAATATCTTGCAACAAACGAAAATTTCACAAAATTTTATTTAAAAGCAAAGCTAGCCACGAAAATTTACAATTACGTATTTTTCTATTGGCTATTTTTTGCAGAGTTAACAGTTAATAATTAGGGGTGTCAACAGCCAGTTGTCATTTTTAACTTTTGAGCATTTTTTTATAGTAAAAATTACATTAATTCTTTTTAGTGGTACATAGCGTTACGAAAAATTTAGAAGGGGTACACAGAAGACATAAGTTTGGGAAACACTGCCTTAGATGCTTACATAATATTTGGCCTCACATCAAAGTTCAATTTTATAAGAGAGAAACATAAAAACTTTTTTGAAATGAAAAAAAAAGAAGAGGATTGACAGTTAAAAATTAAATATCACTTCAGATAAAGTTAATATTTTCTAGATACAGGAATAAAATGCACAGATAAAAATGTCATTTATTTCATAGGCAAAGGTTATTGATATTCTATACATTGCAGAGGCATGGAGGGTCATTGCAGGGTGACTAAAATAACTTTCAAAATTTTTAAAGATTAAAAATTAATTTGTATTTATGTTTGTGGATTTATCATGTATATGGTAGATACATAAATAAGAGTTTAAAACAAATTTTCAACTAAAAATTATTTTTCAACAAAAATAGCATAGTGACTAACGTAACATTTTGCAACACTGAAAAATGATGCTTTCGTTATAAGGATAATTTTTTTAAAGTTACACAGATGTTTACAATTGGCTGCTATACTAGAAAAAAGTGGACAATTTACTGGACAAATTTGTTTTGAAAAGGCGTTTTTCTTTTCTTTTTTTGGCAATAGCATAGAGTTTTTCATGAGGGAGAAAAATTTTTCAACAAACAGCATTCATATATATTATACAGGTCAGATAAGGACAATTTAAAGTAGGAGGTATAGTTAACCTCGAATTTGACAACAAGCAAAAAGTAAAATGCCCTTTAGCTAGAGTAACCGTAACATATTTTGGGAAAGACAGAAATGTTCGAGTCTCAATCAAGTTAGAAGAACTAATTTGTCCTATCAATACAGTATCCCTCTTGAAAAAACTATTCCACCTTGCTGTCAGATAATTCAATTGGGACATTAAAATTCATTCCAGAAAAAATGAAGGAAAATTCTGAGTTACCTAAAGACCTATGGATGCGGAATAAACTTCCATCCGGATTTTTTGCCTGAACTGTGAAACTTCATTTTATGATTTTGGTTTAATATTTTCAACTTAAATGCATTTTGAAAGATTTATTTTAACCAATTTAATTGATATCTTCAATCATAAAGTGAGAGGTTTAGAAGCTGGCCTCAAATGCCATTCCTATTTAAAGTTATGAATTTGTAGGTAGATAAGCATACATTTTGTAGATAAATAGAATTCTTCTAAAAAGTTGTGGAAGTAAATATAGACGTGAAATTGTTTCATTTATTAAGGAGAACGATTAGTTCTTGCAAATTCTCAACAACAATTGATAAACGCACGGTAAATTTCAAACTTGTAAACTTTATTTTTAAAATAAACACGGAAAGGATTTCTCCGGGTTGAATGGGTCTCCTATTGTGTTTCGTCCAGTTGCAATGATTCTGCTATAAATCATGATGCGTGGATCTTCCCGTGACATTTCTGCAGCGCAATTTCAAACAGTATGACATGGTAAAGAGGCCTGAAATATTTCAGCCCCACTTGACCCTGCATGCCATTAAGACGGGAGCAGTTCGTCACTGACTGTCATAAGTTTACTTACCAAAAATAAAAAAATAGCAAAGAATCACTTGGAAAATCTAAAAGCATTTAACTTTTCCAAATTCAATTCACCAATTCAGAAAATTCAATCAACAATTAAGAAAAGTTAACAAATAGTGATAGTGTAAAAATGTATAGTAAGAGCATTTTTTTCCCTCACTTTAAATAACATTTTTCTCTTCATAAAAATTTGATGATATCAAAATGTGCGTTTTAACCTAACCAACAATTAAATCAAATCATATCTGTTCTACTTAAAAACCGTTTTCACTGTACAATATTTTCGCTTAGGGAGCATTACCATGCATGCAATAAATTCATGCATGGGATATCGGAGTAGATAGCGGGAAACTGATTAAATAAATACATATACCCTGGATAAAGAGGATATTTACGGATCAGGATCTGTCGCGTCAACTACAATCACCAAGATACAGAATAAGTTTTAAACTTGAAAATTTGAAAGAAAAAAAAGGAAGGAAAAAAAAAAAAAAAATGTTCGCCCGGGGGAAGCTACGATTTTAACCTTTCGAGTTGGTTCCTTTCTCGGAAGTGTTTTTAAGTTTCTCGAGGGTCGCTGATCAGAAGTTGCGAAGACTTGGCGATTATTCTGTCACATATGACGATACGGAAATCTCCCCTGGATAAACTAGTATTCGTTTGACTCTTCGAATTCGCGATCCTTTACTGGATTTCACACACAGAAACACCCCATGCATGCTAGAATATCCAAAATGTTACAAAAGAAGTCGAAAAAGAGCAAATAAACTGATTTTCCAGGATTCTTCCAGTTTTTTCCCATTTTCCAAATAAAAAAGTTTTGTTTCCTACATGCAAGACCCTCCAGAATATCGATGAACACAAGAAAAAAAATTATATTATTTAAAATGAAAGAAAAAACAAAAAAAAAAAGAAAGATTTTTGAAAATTTGTCAGTCCCTGGGATTCGTACCCAGGACCCCTCCCTCCAGCAGCGAGCAGGCTTGTCTGGTGGCCTACCTTCCAGACCACGGTGATATGTGAAGCCTACCACAGTTTCGATTCAAAAGCTCTCTTCTCTCATCTTCGCAATACACCTTTAAGGGCCAACTGTGACCCCCCTAATTGGCCTATAAAAATTCTCTTTGGCAGCCATGTTTGCACCACGGACCCCTACTTAGGGTGGGAGTTAGAAAATTATACCTTGATATTAAAGGGAGCTAGGGTATCTTGAAATTTGAACCTTTCTCAAATCATTTTATTTATTATTTTTTTTTTTTATTAATCCACTACGCTTTCTTTGCTGGATTTCACACACAGAAAACACCCCATGCATGCTAGAATATCCAAAATGTTATAAGAGAAGACAAAAAAGAGCAAATAAACTGATTTTCCTGGATTTTTCCAGTTTTTTCCCATTTTCCCAATAAAAATTTTTTTTCCTACATTGCGGACCCTTCAGAATATCGAAAAACACATTAAAGAAATAATATAATTTAAAATAAACAAAAGAAAAAGGAAAACATTCAGGAAAATTGCGAAGATGAGAGGAGAGAGCTTTTGAAGCGAAACTGTGGTAGGCTTCACGTATCACCGTGGACTGGATGGTAGTCCACCAGACATGCAAGTTCGCTGCTGGAGTTAGAGGTCCTGGGTTCAAATCCCAGGGATAGTCAAATTTTCAAAAAATTTCTTTTTTTTTAAGCTTATTTTAAATTACATTATTTTTTATCTGCTTTTCGATATTCTGGAAGTTCCTGCATATTGGGAAAAATTTTTTTAATTGGAAAATGGGAAAAACTGGAAAAATCCAGGAAAATCAATTTATTTGCTCTTTTTCAACTTCCATTGTAACAGTTTGGATATTCTAGCATGCATGGGGTCCTTTCTGTGTGTGAAGTTCAGCAAAGAAAGCGTAATGGGATAATAAAAAAAAAGAATAAAAAAATAAAATGGCTCGAGAATGGTTCAAATTTCAAGACCCCCTAGCTCTCTTTAATATCAAGGTATAATTTTCAAACTCGGACCCTAGGTAGGGGTCTATGGTCCAAACAAGGTTGCTGAAGAGAATTTTTAAAGCCCAAATAGGGGGGTCACAGTGGGCCCCTAAAGGTATATTGCGAAGATGAGAGGAGAGAGCTCTTGAAGCGAAACTGTGGTAGGCTTCACGTATCACCGTGGAATGGAAGATAGGCCACCAGACAAGCAAGTTCGCTGCAAGAGGGAGGGGCCGTGGGTTCGAATCCCAGGGACGGTCAAGTTTTCAAAAAATTTCATTTTTTTATTTTAAATTATATTATTTTTTTATGTGTTTTTCGATATTCTGGAGAATCCTGCATGTAGGGAAAAAAATTTTTAATAGGGAAAAGGGGAAAAAACTGGAAAAATCCAGGAAAATCAGTTTATTTGCTCTTTTTCGACTTCTATTGTAACATTTTGGATATTCTAGCATGCATGGGTTGTTTTCTGTGCGTGAAGTTCAGCAAAGAAAGCGTAATAGAATAATAAAAAAAAAAGAATAAAAAAATAAAATGGCTCGAGAATGGTTAAATTTCAAGTCCCTCTAGCTCCCATTAATATCAAGGTATAATTTTCAAACTCGGACCCTAGGTAGGGGTCTATAGTCCAAACAAGGCTGCTGAAGAGAATTTTTATAGCCCAATTAGGGGGGTCACAGTGGGCCCCTAAAGGTATATTGCGAAGATGAGAGGACAGAGCTCTTGAAGCGAAACTGTGGTAGGCTTCACGTATCACCGTAGACTGGAAGGTAGGCCACCAGGCAAGCAAGTTCGCTGCAAGAGCGAGGGGTCCTGGGTTCGAATCCGAGGGACGGTCAAACTTTCAAAAAATTTTATTTTTTTATTTGTTTATTTTAAATTATATTATTTTTTTATGTGCTTTTCGATATTCTGGAGAATCCTGCATGTAGGGAAAAAAATTTTAATAGGGAAAAGGGGAAAAAACTGGAAAAATCCAGGAAAATCAGTTTATTTGCTCTTTTTCGACTTCTATTGTAACATTTTGGATATTCTAGCATGCATGGGGTGTTTTATGTTTGTGAAATTCAGCAAAGAAAGCGTAATGGAATAATAAAAAAAAAGAATAAAAAAATTAAATGCTTCGAGGACGGTTCAAATTTTAAGACCCCCTAGCTCCTTTTAATATCAAGGTATAATTTTCAAACTCGGACCCTAGGTAAGGGTCTATGGTCCAAACAAGGCTGCTGAAGAGAATTTTTATAGCCCAATTAGGGGGGTCACAGTGGGCCCCTAAAGGTATATTGCGAAGATGAGAGGAGAGAGCTTTTGAAGCGAAACTGTGGTAGGCTTAACGTATCACCGTGGACTGGAAGGTAGGCCACCAGACAAGCAAGTTCGCTGCCAGAGGGAGGGGTCGTGGGTTCGAATCCCAGGGACGGTAAATTTTTCAAAAAATTTCATTTTTTTATTTTAAATTACATTATTTTTCTTATGTGTTTTTCGATATTCTGGAGGTTCCTGCGTGTAGGAAAAACATTTTTTTATAGGAAAAATGGGAAAAAACTGGAAAAATCCAGGATAATCAGTTTATTTGCTCTTTTTCGACTTCTATTGTAACATTTTGGATATTCTAGCATGCATGGGGTGTTTTCTGCGCGTGAAGTTCAGCAAAGAAAGCGTAATAGAATAATAAAAAAAAAGAATAAAAAAATAAAATGGCTTGAGAATGGTTAAATTTCAAGTCCCCTTAGCTCCCATTAATATCAAGGTATAATTTTCAAACTCGGATCCTAGGTAGGGGTCTATGGTCCAAACAAGGCTGTTGAAGAGAATTTTTATAGCCCTATTAGGGGGGTCACAGTGGGCCCCTAAAGGTATATTGCAAAGATGAGAGGAGAGAGCTCTTGAAGCGAAACTGTGGTAGGCTTCACGTATCACCGTAGACTGGAAGGTGAATACCAGACAAGCAAGTTCGCTGCAACAGCGAGGGGTCCTGGGTTCGAATCCGAGGGACGGTCAAACTTTCAAAAAATTTTATTTTTTTATTTTAAATTATATTATTTTTTTATGTGTTTTTCGATATTCTGGAGAATCCTTCATGTAGGGAAAAAAATTTTAATAGGGAAAAGGGGAAAAAACTGGAAAAATCCAGGAAAATCAGTTTATTTCCTCTTTTTCGACTTCTATTGTAACATTTTGGATATTCTAGCATGCATGGGGTGTTTTATGTTTGTGAAATTCAGCAAAGAAAGCGTAATGGAATAATAAAAAAAAAGAATAAAAAAATTAAATGCTTCGAGAACGGTTCAAATTTCAAGACCCCCTAGCTCCCTTTAATATCAAGGTATAATTTTCAAACTCGGACCCTAGGTAAGGGTCTATGGTCCAAACAAGGCTGCTGAAGAGAATTTTTATAGCCCCATTAGGGGGGTCACAGTGGGCCCCTAAAGGTATATTGCGAAGATGAGAGGAGAGAGCTCTTGAAGCGAAACTGTGGTAGGCTTCACGTATCACCGTGGAATGGAAGGTAGGCCACCAGACAAGCAAGTTCGCTGCAAGAGGGAGGGGTCGTGGGTTCGAATCCCAGAGACGGTCATTTTTTCAAAAATTTTTATTTTTTTATTTTTTTATTTTAAATTATATTATTTTTTTATGTGCTTTTCGATATTCTGGAGGTTCCTGCATGTAGGAAAAAAAAATTTTTAATAGGGAAAAGGGGAAAAAACTGGAAAAATCCAGGAAAATCAGTTTATTTGTTCTTTTTCGACTTCTATTGTAACATTTTGGATATTCTAGCATGCATGGGGTGTTTTATGTTTGTGAAATTCAGCAAAGAAAGCGTAATGGAATAATAAAAAAAAGAATAAAAAAATTAAATGCTTCGAGAACGGTTCAAATTTCAAGACCCCCTAGCTCCCTTTAATATCAAGGTATAATTTTCAAGCTCGGACCCTAGGTAGGGGTCTATGGTCCAAACAAGGCTGCTGAAGAGAATTTTT